ATTATAGCTATTAGTTAGTTATTGTAGTATTAATATCTAAATTATAAGCTAGAAGTGTTATTTATAGTTAAGATTTATAGCTATAAGCTTATTCTAGCAGAGAGAACCTAGAGCCACCCAATGGAGAGGAAGACTTCCACGGCTGTCTCGTTGCCAAAGAACATCCAGAATATCCACATCAGCACCTCGACAATCAATCAAAGTCTTGACAGCTTCGAAGTTGCCATGAGTGCAGGCAACATATAGTGCGTTGACTTCGAAATTGCTGTCAGGTATATTCCAAAATTTGTCCTCCCATCGATCTATTGTCACCTTGGTGTGAATATTGGCACCATAGTCGGTGAGCCTTTTGAGCAACCGTGAGCCTGCCCACTCCGCAGCCAAAGTCAGGACTGTGTTGTGAAGTTTTCCGTCCCCGTATGACACATCAGACGCTGAGGCGCCTCGGTCTAATAGCAGATTTATGATTGCCTCGCTTTCCGCAGGTTCAGGTAGTCCCTCTTGTGCAGAAGCAGGCAAATCAATATTGTAGGCCGAAGCAGCTGATAGTAGTGCAGTATGGTCATTCTGGTCGCGTTCATGGATGCTGGCGTATCGTGGTTGGTTATCGAGTAGAAATCGGACTATGTCGACCTGGCCGTGGTGGGCGGCTTTGTTCAATAACAGACCTTGTTCAGGATCGAATCTGATTTTCATATCTGGATCCTTGCCCTTCGTGCAGTGATTCAGAAGAATCTTAAGTACACCAAGACTTCCCCGAGAGGCTGCCGACATGCAGTAGTTTATGTCACCACAACGCCACAGTCGCACTCGTCTGGAAACACATGTCGGTCTGGAACGGCCCAGAGATCGTTTGCGGAAACCGGCTTCATCGAGATAGCCCAAGGTGCAATCGTGAGATATCTCTGAAGAGCATTCGTATCATTCCGCGTAACGATGTCATACAAGAGTTCAAAGTATACAGTCTCATATAGAATTGAACCATCTGAATGAAGCATCGTCATGGGTACAGGACGAAGTCTCTCAAGTCCTTGACTTTTGTACTTGGCGTTTGGGTCTTCAGTGAAGCGAGAATAAGGCGGCTTATCTTTTCTGTCCGTAGACGAAGACATACTTGGAGATAGATGGCTGGATTTGTTGAAAAGAAAAGAAGAGATTTGATAAGAGACGACAATAATCTGTTGTTTGTAGGATATAGTTATGTCAAATTCGGTTAACATTCGAGCTTCAAGAAGTGGGGTCAGCGCTAATGCAGTGAAGCTGATCGGGCCCGGCGAAGAGTCACAGCCCGAGCAAATTACGTACATAAATGGAGCACATGCATGTGCTTGTAGATAGGCCAACCACCAGCGAAGGTCTGAGGCAATATACTTATTGCATGATCATTACACAACAAACCCACCAATGTAGCTTATTTTATTCCACCCTCTCTAGATAATTCATAAATGTCTCCAATGATGCCATTCATTTAAGATGGAATGCATTTAAAGATTTGCATATATGACTTAGACAGCTGCTTTATCTACATAATCAATTTGCAGGTGAAGTCACTCGCTTGTCATATCTCCGCTCTGTTCTGAATGCCTGCCAGTCACTACCCGCTCTCGGCAATTTTGCTGCTGAAGTGGAAAGCGGAGATGAGAAGACGAAATGGATATCATGGACTTGATCATGGTTTGTCTGTGTTGACATGCTGTGATTCGGCATTGTGTAGACTCACTACGTAAGCTTGTGTTAAGATGGACTGAGTGTTTTTGAACCGCGACGAAAGTCTTTCGGGTTAGGCTCTTCCTTCCTCCTTACCACATATCATCCTTCTGGCCACTGTAGTAAGGCCAGTCTCGAATTTCCGAACATCTTCCAGTATCCAAAAGTGCCATGTCCCCAGGCCAGATGCTTTCCTCAAGATCTACTTCAGGTCCGTGACAGCGAAGACAAGACTCGGTACGGTGTTTATTCCACATGAGAAATATCCACAACTCCAACAAATAGCCTGTTGGGATTCTCATCCATCCCCATCCCGAGTTACCATCCAATGACAACGAGATGGCCTTGACGACGAATTCGCCCTTTCCTATATCTGTCAAAACAGCTTCATCGGCGAGCAAAACGAATTTGAACACATAGTTTGCCATAGCTCGACCCCCGTGGGGCCTTGTGCTCACGCGGTACTTGGTACTGGCTTTAACTTCAGTCTCTTTGAGCTTTTCGGCGTTGCAAAAGTCCCGGAGACGTCGAACATCGAGACCATCTAGATTAGAGGGATTCTCCCGGACATCGAGATGAAATAATTCCTGAACTCGTCGCATATCGTCTTGGTCTGTTTCCTCCTCATCCTCAAACGCCCCGAATGCCAACTTGGTCTGATGTCTCAAAGAGTATAGAAGCGCTTGCCAATGCTTCTCAGACTCTTTACCGTAGCAGGTACGGTAGATAGTAAAGCCCCATTTGCGATAGTGGCGGAAATTGTCGGGGTTCTTTCTCCCTCCAGGTTCTAGCTTGGTTCCGCGCGGGAACGACCAAACCTCATCTATCATTTGTTTGATAATGTGAGACATCTTAACAAATTCTCGTCATGAGGGTACGTTTGGTGCAGGTTGTGTTTTTTCAGGCGGCTGTCAGAAGTGTTGTTGGACGGATAGTGAAGATAACGTATGTGCACAGACATGAGCTCGAGAAGAAAGTTATAATAGAAGGTCGGATTGGCTGTGATGATATGAATGAAGCGACAACAGAATCATGTTGGTCGACACGTGCAAGATAAGAAAAGTCACGTTGGGATAGTGTGGTGTCGATTCGGAGTATAAATTCCCCGACTTAGGCGAATGTGGGGTGTAATAGAGCAAAGACATCGAGAAGTCATGATCATTTACAGACAAGCTACGAACGTCTCAAATCGTACTGCTTACTCACCTCTGATTTGAAGCCATATACATAAACCTAGATATGACTTATGCAACTGTCATACTACCGCATAACTACATTACAGCTGCACTGCTCTTGTTTGCATATGCTCCACTTGAAGTACATGCCGATGACTCATTCCACACAGCAAAGGGATCCTAAGTACATGTATTTACTGCTTAGAACTCATATATAAACTGGCTCAACTTCTCTTGATCACTTAAACACTTAACAACAATGCCGCTCCCACTCCCTGAAGATAGGTCACCATACGCCAATTTCATTCGGGGTCCGAACGAGTGTCATGATGACGAAGAACCTCCTTACATACAAATGACCATGGTTGATCGTAATGGATCTGTTCTCTGCGAAACAGATCAGTTTGATCTCCTTCTCGAAATCATATATCGGGATGATTTGTCAAACCTTGAGCAGTATCTCGATATCGCACCCTGGGCTATTGAGGAAAATGAGGAGCTTCCTCGCTATCACTCCTTCTTCTACACAGCTGTATCCACCAGAAGCCTTGGTGCTCTCAAGACCCTTCTTTCATACTACGCAAAGACTAGGGGACTGTATCAAAGACTCAGCTTTCGAGAACGCGGATTCACGCTTCTCAACGAAGCTGCGAGACGGGGGTATCTTGAGATTGTCGAATTTTTACTCGACAACCAGCCACTGTATGCTGATATTCATGAGCGAGATTATGCCGGTTGCACTGCTATCGCTGCTGCCTCGGATCTGAATTCAACGAGATACGTCGAGGCGTTCAATTGGCAACCTTCTGTCGACAAGAGCGAAGCTGTGATGAATCTATTGCTCGATTGGGGTGCCTGTCCTACAGACGTGGTCCTACGGGCTCATCAAGATTCATTATGGAAACCGGAAACGGTTCTATCAATGGCATCCGAGTGGGCAGGCGCTGAGATGATCGAGAGGCTCATTAGCGGTGGTGCGGATGTTCATGCCTGCTTCACGAAAGACTCACTTCAATTACAAATATACGACGAGCAAGACTACATCGTCCACAACGTCACCGTAATTCATATGGCTGCTTTCCGCGGTAATTTCATTGCTCTTGAAACTCTACTCGTTCACCACGGAGACGCAGTGAGTACGCTGGAAATGGTTTCCTCTTGTGACAGTCGAGGGGCCACGCCTCTTCATTGGGCTACGCGGCATAACCTATACAACCCCAAATTACACGAAACGGCACACAAGGTCAGAACGACTATCGATCTTATCCTGAAGAAAAGCCCTACGATGGTCAATATTCAAGATGCTGAAGGGAACACGGCCTTGCACTACGCCGCTCGATACTTTGGTGGAAATGAAACGGACTTCACGCCAACTTTTGAAACCCTTTGCAATGAGGGTGTAGATGCAGGTATACGCAATAAGCAGGGAAAGACGCCGCTACACAATATGCTCGCCACCGCAGATGGGACAATCAACAAGGAGATCATATCTCTCCTGCTTGCTCATGGTGCAAAGATCAACGATATAGAGGATGCTGGAAACACCCTTCTACATATTGCAGCGCGAAGACTGGATCATCATAACGTAATACTTTTTCTTATAGAACAGGGCGCTGATGTTACTATTCGCAAATTGGGAAATGATACACCTATCCATATAGCCGCCTCTGGCCATGTATGGATCCCGGGCCTGGCGGAGAAAGTCGAGATACAAGATGGGGTTCTTGCAACCCTAGCAAGCGCTGGAGGGGATGGGCTAATGGACCTGACCAATGCAGAGGGGAAGACACCAAGAGAAATTTGCAGAGCGCAGAGGGACAAGTGGGGAGAAGATGAGGATAGGGATCGCGTGATAAGTAATCGCCGTGGACGGAATTTGGCAATTGCCGCGTCTTGCTCATTTAGCTAATGTCGAATGGTGTCATGAATGGAACTTGAGATATTACGCCCTAACGGTGAAACATTGTCTGTGAGTACACCGTCGTGGAGCAATAATTCTGAGTAGATAAGAGTCATCGTAGCTTTTTCAAGTCTCCGGCTGTATCTACTGTGGATTGAACCACGATGTTTATTTCATTGTAATTGTAATATACTCTTTCTCTCACCGAGTTGAACTGTGCTCTTAACTCAGTTGGGCTTAGCATGCTAATCGCGTTCAAGAAGCTTTGTAGTGGATTACAAGGATTATGCTCCTGCGTTGATAAACTAAAATTCTGGACCAGTTGCATATTTTCAAATGAAGGGCTGCGTCTGCTTCAAATGCTGGATCATATCGAATGATATATGGCCAATCTGTTGAGCTAAATCCGTTCGTTTCCTTCTATAGAGTTTGTGATTGTTTAGTGCATATCCAGGGACTAAAGCTGGGACTTTCAAATATGCGTGAGCACTGTCGGAATCGCCGTGCCGTGCCCAGTGCTACTACTAGGGATCATCACAAGTAGTGGATTCGGGTGGGTGTTTAAAATAATGCATATTGCTCAGCGCGTACGTTCCTTATGATTCTGCCGAAGCTCAAATCAGGATACAAACTTCTAGCTCAAGGCCATGACGACTACGCCATTGTGTACAAGTAAATTCAAAGATGGTAGTGATCTTCCTGAATCATAGATATAAATTGATGGTTTCCAGCAGTACCTGCTTATTCTCAGACACAAACATTCATCCTCTTTAACCATTGTCCTCTAAACCTCAACTTCCCTCTCTATCCCTCAAGCATTTCACACAGACCACAACACATCAAACCCCGTCAAACATGAAGATGTTCCGTCTTTCCACACTCCTCGCCCTGTCCTTCAGTGAGCTATCACTTGCCAACGAGTATGGACAGTGGGGTGTCTATGTTTATAGCGACCGAAACTGCGAGCACCAGCTTGGCCAGTGGCGAGATGATCAGCTGCAAGAATGCATCAGCCTCGACGGATATCCCGATGCTCTCAGCGTCAGAACCGACATCAAGAACCTAGGTCCGGTCAAATGCGGGTGGAATGTCATGACTTTTGATAATCCCACTTGCAGTGGCGTGGGTAGAGATATTAGACTGAGTGACGTCTGCGTTGACACCCCGTTCTTGGGAGATTTCAAAAAGCCCGTCAAGAGCTTTATCGTTGGAGAATTTCCCCTTTGCGACTAGATTGGAGAGTATGTTTGGGAATTGAGATCGGTGTGAGGATCGTACTGCTAGGCTTTTTTGGCCAGTTAGGTTTGGGTTTTTCTTCTGGTAACCAGTTTTCCCACTACCCTGGCTGGCTATGCTTGAGTAGGAAGCTGTGATGATATTGCATTAGAAGACGTTGAAGAAGTCAGGACTACGTGCAGACTGTATTAAGTAGTGGCTATTAAACGCAATGGAATCCACTTATATAGAATATACATATTTTACAGTCTGAGAGATTCTATAAACTCTGCCAACACGTAGCCTTGCTCACTTGTCACTAACAATGGGAAGTGAATGATGGGTATCTATCGCTTCCACGAGTTCATCATCCGTGCTTCCTGATCAAGGTCAGAAAAATAACGCATTTTTGGCGCAGAATCCGTTCGACACGAGCCTCAATAGCACTGGGTTTCTCAACGTTAGACTGGAAAGATTCTGGCAGGGGCTCATTTGTCGCATATTCTGAACCTCACGTCTGGAGTGGATGAGAGCTTCGGAAGCGCTAGACTCTGCCGTGGCTGTACTGCAACAGTCGTTCCAAGTGTTGTTCACGAAACGGAGCAAGGGTTGCCGACGGTCAATGGTTACTTTCCCGAGTACAACGCTTAGGATCCAGAAGTCTTTGTCCCGATCCGAGACACCTGGCATAAATTTTCAACTGGTCTTGATGACATCCAAAATCTGAAGAAGCTCTACAAGGATCTTCATGGTGTAGACCTTCTTGCCAGCTGCCAACTTGACGAGGAATGTTTCCCGGGTATCACTGTTCCCAGGTCAGCCCTGATGAAAACTCCGATAAGACGCAAGATTGACTTAAAGCGGTGTCGTATCCTTGAACCCTCTTTTCACGCACCTCACGGTTATAATAAACAGCAGAAATGGGACAGAAATAATGAAGCCATTACCCGATTGACGGAACCATGAGTTCACGTAATACTTCAGCTCTAATGTAAGTCTCCCGATCCGTCTGAACAGAGGAATGTCCTGACAATCAATATTAGACCGTCATACGGAACTTGAACAGGTTTCCTTCAAGGATCTCTTTCTTCTTCTTCTCAAGTTCCTCCATATCCCAATTGACCGTAATGAATCGACCCGACAGCCAGTCCCGCCTCTCGCGAGATAACCAAACCATTGTATCAGCAGCCAACTCCACCGTATCATTCAAGTGAGAATGCATCGCTGGTGGCATATTCAAAGCCAGCTCAGTTTTGATCCCGCCCGGATGAATCGATATGGCGACTAATCCCTGCTCGTAATACTCCTTGTCGATGAACTCAGTAAATCGGCACAGAGCGAACTTGCTCGTCTGGTATGCCGATGCCCCGGGAACGATGATCTGAGCGCCGACACTGCTGACATTGATGATTGTTTTGGACGTTGACTTGAGAAGCAGAGGAATGAAATATCGGGCGGAAAGGTAAGTCCCTTTCATGGTGACCTCCCAAGTCCACCACCACTCTGAAGGGTCAGACTCGGTGATGGACTTCCATTCCTCGAGACAGCCTGCGTTGTTGATCAAGATGTCTAGGCCGCCGTCAAGTATCTCCTTGGTGGTCTCGGCGGCTGCTTTCACCGACTCTTCTGACGTGATATCCAGCTTGATAGAATGAACGAGAGGTTGGGACCGATTCGCCTTCTTGGCAGCATCTTTGACAGCCGCTTCAACATCTGCCATGTCAGAACGGGCGGCGAGGATGATTTTCGAGCAACCTGCCACTGCGAAGCGAATTGCGGTCGCTTTTTCGATCCCTTTGGAGGCGCCGGTGATCAAGACTGATTTCCCTGACAGGTCGGCTTTCAATGGGTCGATGAAAGGATAAGTGTCGTTGTGCGTAGAGACGTAGCTGGCCAGAGTGGGCCAGTTGGTCTCACGCAGAGAGGAATCCTGAGCCGGCATTATGGGTGTTGAGAATCGCGACCGAGATGAATATGACTTCCGATTTGTCTAGTTGCTGCATTTGTCAAATTTATATCGCTGCGGTTATAGCGCTTGGCCATTATGGATTAGTCACTCATACGTAGTAGTGATGCCGAGAAGACGGAGTTAGGATCGGGAATCGGCAGTGCATCGGAAATAGCGGGAATGATAGTTTGTCCATACCCACGAAAACGTATCCATTCAACCATTCATCCTCTATACCTGTAATCATTCGTAGAGTATAGATGCGAAAGATCCTGGCTCCGTGTAGCGAATTTCTGGGGCAAGTTTCCCTCATCCCGTCTTCGGACTCCGCCCAATGAAGTCGAATACCGGCAGAATAACTGGATGGTCCATGCCAAACTCGGCTTTCCAGGTCCAATGCACTAACTGAATTTTCGCGTCCTCGCTTCTGGGAATGTCAGGCCGAGAGATATCAGCCGCGGTATAAGCGGGCAAGATCCGTACGGGATCCATTTGACTCCCGAGGCGTCTGGGGTCTTTCCAAGTACTGCATCTCTAGATCCACCTGAACATGAATCTTTTGACCAGAAGAACCTTCACCACCGTCAGCCCGCTCCCAGCTCTGGTTTCTCTCGCCGCATGCCACTGATTGTGATGTTATAACCGCTTGGTTGGTCCCGGAAAACGGTGTATCACAAGGCGGAGAAGATCCTGCAGTGGTATCAAAACTGAAATAAGGGCTGAACAACTTCCTTACAGCGTGTAAGGAGACAGCAATAGTTCCAACACTGGTTTCTACCATTGACCAGAGATATATGTATGCGAGACTATCTGGAGGACACATTAGAGTCTGGCAATATATGTGCATCATGAGACTAACAAAAGAAGCTCTCTGAACTAGTGATACCCTTGTAATAAGGTATGCAGATGAGAGTAAATATAGATGCACTAAAAGGAACTTAGCACTCAATGTCGAAATTACAGAGTAGGAAAGAGAATTACAAAACTGCTAGACTAAGAATAATACTAACAGAAACCTTCGTCGCCTTCTGCATATTAGACTTATATAGCATAAAGAAGGGCAGGATCGAACATATCCAATCCGACACGATTGCACTGATAGCCAGCACATAGCCTGTGCTAGTTCTGATAGTTGGTGAACATGCATTGTAGTTATCCCAATTAGCACTTATGGGAAGGCATACAGCCAGCATCCCAATAATGGCGTAAAGCAGAGTGCCTGTAATGAAGACGATGGTGCCCCAGATTATCCTGCGGTGTAGTGTCTTGACAGTAAGCCGCAGGAATGTAGTACAGATAGAGCATTTAAGACATATTAATGACAAGATATAAATCAATTCCCCGATCCATGTATACTAGATGTTATCAATTAGTAGGTGCATTGATATTAAGTTCAGATTTAAATAAGTCAGTACCTTAAGTATGGCTCTCTGTTGGTGGCTATTTAAGCTGGCATCTTTTCTTCCTAAGCCATTGTAAATAGCCTGGATACTCACAGCTACATGAGCGACATGTAGTAACTAAATAGCTTCAATATATTCAAGTTTTGTGCTGACGACAAGTAAACTTACCCAGCCTGCAAGCATGAGACCGTCATCCAGACCGAAAATTGCGAATTTCAGACGAACAAAACAACGGAGGATGATGATTATCGCTGTGAGAAGAAGGAACACAATTGGGAGCACAATCATGGTGCGCCCTAGACCTGAAGGCTTCACCCATGTTGCGCTTGCGTCAAGCATTATTTAGGTTGGATGATGGGTCGATTGCCGATGTGTTGATTGCGAAGTGAAATGATATTAATTTGAGAGGCGTCGCCTTTTTGAAGCGATCAACTGCAGTACGTGGTACCAAGTCTAAGCTATTCCCGGCGCTTTGCCACGTCCATGGAAAGAGTCTAGTGGACTTTATCAATCGAGGATCCGAAATTTAAAAATGTGGCTTGCTGACGAACCTTGGGTGGGTGAGAGAATGCTATACATTCCTGTATTGCCTGTCTTCGGAGGTTTATTGCAAGAGATCAGTAATCCGTCAAACCGTCCAGACGGCCATTAAGTAGTCTCAAATGCAAATAACGTATCTACAGTGGCTCACAACTTGGACGCATATGGCCTAGGTGTCTTTGCAGATGTCTTCAATAGTACTGTATTGAGCTAGTGGTTAGACTCTAGGAATATCGGGAGTTGATCATCATTCCCCGTGGTTACCAAGGACTTGGTTCATCTACCCTGACTATACTGTTTTTATCTAAGATGTATCGAATAGGATAGATAATTTATCAATGTCCGTGTCGGGCTAACGTGGTGGAATCGATTAAATACTCTTCCACTATTGGCAGCCGAACTACAGAATCATGGAACAAGCCATTACAGTCGACGCTGATAGACAGAGCTCGGTGTTATCTTACTGATAATCCTCCTCCATTTTATCACGCTTGCAGTTACTGTCCCCTCTTTCGCTCTGTATATACAATCTTCACTGTCTAGAGGGCCATGGCAGGACGTTTTGCAGCTTCTCCCGCCTGGGATGGATGAAATGTTGCAGGTCTGTAGCGAAAGATCTAGAATTTAAGTTAGATCCTTGAAAGAGTGAGCTAAGACAATAGTTCGCGCTATAGGCTTATAAAGCTTGGTGGCCAATCTTGGAGATTAGGAAGCTAAAGTCTCAAGATAGGAAACTCCTGTACGTTGACTGCGTCGCCAATCTACCTAAGGAAAGAATTTTCCGAATATGTGCGATTTGCCCCGATTTTAGAAAGTCGTTGAGCTATGACAGCATGTGGCAGTTGCCGGTCCATAAACGGAAAGCCGGGAGCCTCGGCCCTACCGAGATAACAGCGGGGTAGATATGTCGTGCCTACCCTAACAATGATCTGATCTACCTAAGAAACATCAAAAGATTATTACAATGTCTTTTTGGGTTATAATTATTTCGAAATATAAAGTTTTATAAACGGTTGAGCCCTTGCAAGCCACGTACAGCTACCATGAAGTCCGTCGTCTTCAAAGGTGTCAAGCAGGTCGCCCTTGAAGATCGGCCGAAACCCACCATTCAAGATCCCAAAGACATCATTGTGAAGGTCAAATACACCGCGTTGTGTGGAAGGTTGGACCAAAACCCATCGTTATCGCAAGTATTCATCTGCTAATTACGTTTCACAGCGAACTTCATGTCTTTCGCGGGCATCAACCTTCCGGAACCGGCTTTATCATGGGCCACGAATTCACAGGTGTCGTCGATGAAGTTGGCTCCGCTATCACCAAGCTTCAACCCGGTGATGCGATCGTCAGCCCTTTCACCGTGAGTTGCGGAGAGTGCTTCTACTGCAAACAAGGATTCTCGTCACGATGCGACCAGTGTCTTCTCTTTGGGACAGCTCTTCTCGATGGAGGGCAGGCTGAGTATGTGAGAATTCCATATGCTGAAAGCACGGTTGTAAAGGCCCCAGAGGAGATCGACGACTTGAAACTCTGCTTGATGGCCGATATCTTTCCAACCGGCTGCTTTGCTGCATCTAATGGTCTGAAGGATCTGAGTAAAGAGCAAGTCGAGGATAGTGTCGTCGTCCTTATCGGCTGCGGACCTGTGGGCATTTGCGCGCTCATCGCCGCGCTGGAGTATAAGCCTAAGATCATTCTGGCTGTTGACGGTATAGAGTCTAGACTATCCCTCGCCAAGAGTCTTGGAGCCGAGCCGTGGAATTACCTCACGCAGAAGGATGAGCTTGAAAAACGAGTGAAGGAATTAAGTGGCGGTCGCGGCGCCGATGTTATCATTGAGGTAGTTGGGCATAGCTCAGCTCTAGATATGGGCTTCAAGCTCCTTAGACCCTGGGGCATTATCTCCAGTGTCGGTGTTCACAATGGAGAAATTCCGTGGACTGGGAATCAAGCGTACGGGAAGAACTTGACTATCAAGATGGGCAGATGTCCTGTTAGGAGTAAGTCTGTATCGCGTGTAGCGGAAGTGAGTGTCTAACAGTTGTCCGTAGGTATCTTCGAGGATTCTTTGAAGCTGCTTGCCAAAAAGCAGCATCTCTTGGAGTAAGTCGCCATACCGCTTCATTAAACCGTGCTAATATATGATAGCTTCATGACCGCGACGGTAATGCCGCTGAGCAATGCTCTTGAGGGCTACGAGCTATTCGACTCGATGAAGGTTCAAAAGGTCATATTTGATGCAGAGAAATAATGGATTATTCTTGTATTAAACATTACTACCAATCATAGCTTTACATGGATGAGTAGGTGTAGCACAGAGGGCCAGCGCGAGTATCCATATAGTCCTTCACCACCGGCTCTTTATCAGCCAGACGCATGACAGGCATCCCATCGGTGATGTCGGCAGTGATCCACTTGTTGCGGTCGTTGAAGCCAGTGTAGTCAGCCAGACGAGTGGCGTTGCGACCTTGCCACTAGAGAAATGTCAGTAACCGTGAAGATCCAAGAGACATGGAGAATGTTCTTACCTTGGCCCAGACTCGATCGACGTTGGCGTGATGAAGGAAGAAGAGAGGCTCGTTGGGCGAAGTAGCGGGACCCATGTCACCGAAGATGATGCTGTGAACTATTGTCCTGTTAGTATTTATAGATCAAAGGAGCGTGGATATAACGTACTCTGAGCATGAGGCAAGCCCTCAAGCATATCAGACATGGCATGGTAGTTGTCAAAGCTGTAGATGGTATCCATAACCCGAGAGTTGTAAGCCGTAGCCTGCATATCACCAAGGATCTGGTTTCCATCCTCATCCTTGCCAAGACCACCATTAAACTCGCGAGTAAAGCAGTGAAGACGGTTGCCTGGAGTGTTCATATCAGGCCATCCCATAGCCAAGGTAAGGTTGGTGTTGGCAAAAGGTCCATCGACGACACAGCGCTGAAATCCAGGAACATCACTACCAGTGAGTTTCGCATCACCGCCAAAGCCAGTCTTGGGGTCGAAAAGAGGAGATTTGACGACATTGTTCTTATCAGCGTCAATCGTCCAGTCCCAATATGGCTGCACACCCTTGAAATCACACTCATCGCGAAGCAGATCCTCGTGAAGCTGGACATACCAACGATGCCAGGGAAGGAAATTTGCGACAAAGTGGATATCCTCGTTAAGAGCGAAATGAGTGTACACAAGATCATCCATGCGTGTTGTGACCTCGTCTATAGCTTCGTACGCCTTCTTGGGGAGGTTGCGAAGACAGACTGCGGCGCGGAGATATTCTGACTTTTCGGCGCTGGTGAGTTCGCGCCATTCTTTGCGAACAACGGGGTTGGTGCATGAGCCTTCTGCGCGGGCTAGGGGGCTGGCGATGGTAAGGGCTGCGAGGGCCAGGCTGGCGAGGAATGAATGGGCGAGCATGTTGGAAAGCGAAGGTGATGAACGAATGACTAATTGGGATAATGAAGGACGAACTTGGCTAGTAGACTGAACTTGTGAGAAGGGAACTCAAGAAGTTAAATAGCAATAAGATACGAGGCCTGTCCCCTGTAGCGGTATGTCATGAGTTCTCCTTTCCGGAGCTACCTGTCTAGCGGCATATCATACTGCCGGCATACGGGAGAGGCTGTCCACTAAGAAAAAGCACAGCCAGGAGAGTGGAGTGAAGCCGTTTAAGAAATTGCTAAAATGAGTTGAAAGAGGAAAATACGAACTCTAAAGTGTTCGGTCATCTCCTCCTTCTAGAAGCCAAGAGCGATTTTACTTGTCGCTAAGAATTAGAATTACAGGGCCTTCGGCGGGTTTTCCACCAAATGCATCACGCTGAAACCCTTAGCGGAGTCACTGACCCATGTTAAAATCTTTTTATAGTGACTGAGATCGAGGACAGGGGTCCGAGGGCGGGATACCACGCTAGATTGGGATTAGCTGGAGCACTCAGACCATAGGGTAAGTTCATGCAATTGCAAATGCCAAGATATTAAAGGGTTAAGTTCATCTGAAATCCCGTATAGAATTGTTATCGGATCTAGGGAGATTGGAGGGGATCTCTGACGATATGTCACTAGGAGGCTGTCATTGCCAAATGCCCATAGAAGGAGGCTGAAAGCTAACATGGAAAACATCAGTACTGACCAATAGATTCTCATGAGGTTGCATGCGGGGTTACTTCAGCTCGGAGCTCAACAATCGCATAAGCAAGACTTCTTATTGTTGAGTTGACCGATTAACTAATCCTCCGGGCTTATACCAACTCCGTACCCATCATGAAGTCTTGGTTCCTCGCCCCTGACTTCACCTTCACTCCCGACGGACCCCTTCAGCTTGGCGCTGTCATCCCTCATCCCAGTCGTCCGACCCAGACCCTTGCATCACCCCGCACCGACGCAATCACGCTTCCTGAAGTGCAGACTCTGGTCGAGACGAACCATTCTCACTCAAACGATGTCACGCGCACAGCGGGAGTAAACCTCTTTGCCAAGTTTGTAGAGCTTGCTTCTGCTTCTATTGGCTATGAGACCAGTCGGCGCAATGCGCTGGCGTATGGGACTGTAGATCATGAGGTTCGATCTTTGGCGGCGCCGTTTACGAGGGAATTTCTGCAGAGTATTGTCGACACAGAGGCTGTTAGAGACCATATTGACTCTGGCATGTTTGGAAAGAGGGCGGTCTACTTCATATCCGGACTTCGGGTTGCCACTTCGTCATTTACGGTGACGAAAGACAAGGGCGTTGAGCATAATACCTCACTGTCAGGTTCAGGCCCAGCGGGACCCGTGCCTATTGAAGTCGGTGCCGGGATTTCAGGGGGAAAGGAGAGTTCCAAGACCGATTCCTATGAGACTGCACCAGGCATTGTCTTCGCTTACCGTCTTCACGCCATACGTGTTCGTGGTAGCGGCACCGTAAGCTCAGAGATGTTCTCGAACAGGAAGACGTTCATGCATGGCAGACCCGTGCCCGACCCTGAGCCCTTTGAGGTTGCCGATGTTGATGCTGAAGTGTTGAAGGCTGATAGGAAGGAGGAGGAGGATGTACCGAACTATGAGGTGGAAGACCTTGGAGATGAGGAATACTGTTTCTTGGCGGAGGCATAGTTGTGTGCTTCTTTCTCCCGAATACGAGTCTGAAATAGGGATGAACCTTAGGATTGCTTTTCCATGTTATCGGTACATGAATGGTGATACAGCGTCATACATAGCAGCCCAAGCTCTCCAAGCATCCGCCTTTTCACTCCAAAACCATATCGGATTTATAAACCTATTGTTCCCTGTCTGGTCCGGTGCCATATTTTCCAGCATTCTTCTCATACCCTCAGTCCTCTTCAAACACTTCACTGGACTTTGCTCCGTCGGTATCGGAAGAACTGAAGAGAGGACCTCTGCGTAAGCTATCGTCGAGGCTGCTATACCCGCAGCCACCGCCGTCGCTATTGATGAACCGGGATGACAGATATGAGCACCAAAGCGCTTTGTTATCTCGTCGTTGAGACATGTTGGCAAATTGTCTCCGAATGTCCCGAGAGCAATAGTGTTGCGGTCAATTATGGGAGGGTTACTAGCATTAAACGTACCCTGGCAATCTGTCGCTCTTATAGAGATCACAGATCGCTGTCTCGCGGGAAAGGCTTCTCTCTGATAAGCTGCGTTATTTCCTGCGCTGGCTAGGAATGTGATGTCGCGTTTCCGCTCAACGTCTTCTATCGCAGCAGAGATAACATCGTCGTCATGCGGGAAGCCGAAAGACATAGAGATGATGTCCACTTCCGCTTCGACTCCCGCCCAACGGATTGCCTGATCATTTATTAGCGCTGGGCTAATGAAGTGCCAATATGTCTCACCTTGGCTATCTGATCGCTGCCATGTTTGAGCTCTTCAGTATTTTTGGCAACTCGGGCCACGTAAATGTGAGCTAGCGGAGCAGCTTCCATGATCAGTCGGGTCATCAAGCTGCCGTGGCCATATTCGTCTTCCATACAGCCTGCTTCAGACCTATCCTCGCTCCCATCTGCCGTGAAGTCCTTCCACGCTTTTATAGATTTCTTCCTTCTAGGCATCTTGAAAAATGGCAACCCGGCATCGCATCCAGTATCTAGAACCGCTATCTTTACAGGCTTGAAGTCGTGGTCAGGCTTCTTGTCCCGCAGGTTCATGACGTGCATACTGATATGTTTCAAGTTGTCCAGCCATTCCTCTGGAACTATTGTCTTTCCTGTATGGAACGAGGCAATTTGCGAGTCAAGTTTGTTGTGAGTTGCAACCTCTTTGCATCTCGCCAAGTAGGATACGTAGTTTGCATCAGTTTTGAACGCTATGTTGACCAGTTTCGACAGTGGTTCAACGACTTCAGTATAGACTTTTCGCCTTATGCCATCTTCGCCCGCAATGATAGAAAGGCCATCCTTGGTGGAACTCTTTATCGTCTTAGGTTTCGGGATTATAGTGGTGAACGTTCTGGGATCTAAGCAATTCGCAACAGCTCTTGTAAAGATATCCCGGTGTGTCGATCGCGCCCACTGCGCCTTTTCTAGCTCACCCAGCAGCTGTCTGGCGGCACCATGGTCTCTGTTCAGCCGAGAGATGAACGGCAAGTGCGTCATTGACTTGAAAGGCTTTGAGAGTCCAATCTGCAACAGTATAAGTCCCAGGCCAAGGATGTTTGGGAACGGGTGCGTGAGCATCGACTTGTCCTCCTCTCCAGAATTCCGCGGCTGATCCTCAAAGTCGAGTGGCATGTACACTCGGAGTGCAAGTTGATTTTTCGGCGAATGCTGGTGATCCATCTCATGCATGAACCAAATATCATCGCTCGTCCAACGGTTTTTCATCAAGTCTGATTCATAGAACTGCCAGAAAGAATGTGCAATAGCATGAGCGAGTAAGATCTTGTCTTTGTCCGTGAGCTTGTAGCTTTGGATGGCCAGAGATAGTGGAAGGCCTTGGCCGGGGCATAAGAACCTCTCAAGCGGAGCTGGTGGTGGAAGGGATACAAGACCAATGCCCTTGACAAAGTTGAGATTGAGTTTGGCAAATAGTTGATGTTTCAACACTTGGCAGAAGTAGTCTGAGTTAATTCGTTTCAGAGTAGAGATTCGACTATCCCCCTCCTCATCACTAGAAACGTTCACAAACTTGACACCACCTCTACGACCTTTCGTTTGCCTTGATATAGTTAGCAAGATAGTATATACATCTGGGATAGTACTTACATAGGAATACCTAGCCACAAATGTTGCCAATAACTCATATCATCGGAAGAAATCACCACCTCAAACTGCGCATGCTTGCTCTGTATTTGTGGCTTCGCATCAAGGTGCAGTCTTATCGGATGAGCCAGTTCGTGGTAGTGAGGCTTTCCCTTCTTTGATTTACCCAGCCAAGATTTCTCCTGCGCCATTTCTGCATGATGACAATATGCGTGCTGATGAAGAGCCTCGAAAAGATTTTTGCTCACATGCTGAGGAAAGTCATCAGGTTCTGGCAGCTTCGATCCTGCTGTGATTTGGTCAAGACCAGTCTTTTTCTTGGGCTCATCTTGGCTGAGTCTGGCTAGAAACGCGTCGCACTTCTCTTTGGCTTTGGTTGGGAGCGTTTTGTCAGTGATGAATGACAAGGATATAGACTTCTTCAATCGCGACCTATTACCTGGCCCTGCCAATGCCACCATGCGCGTGTAGTCCTCATCAGGGTTGGTCTGGCTCCCTGCTGGAGTTGGAAACTAGATATCTTAGTGGAATGTCTCAAGACAGAGGGAAGCGACCCACCATGCAAATCTCAAGCAGAGTATGCAACAAGCCTGCTGCAGCTTCTTCAGCTGCATCGTCAAGCTCGTAGTCTGCGAATGACTCTTGAGCGATTTGACCCAGCCTCGTTCCAACTTCCCCCGCAAGCCGCTGTCTTTGGCGTATGCCGCACTCCATCACCAGCGCGTACACTTCTTTGGCCACTTCAGCGACCATTCCGCATACGCTGAAGCGTTGAGTCGCCATATCGTCATTGGCATGTTTTGTTCTCCGTAAGGCTGAGTTATGTAGAGTGGAGGTCTGATGGTCTGTTTGATCGTGCGGCTGAGTATCCCTGTAGCAGAGCTCACGTGACGATAGTCGACACGAAATCCTTCCCTGTTCGCCCTTATGCAGCTGCCTCATCCTCGCCATCTCCTCTTCTGTGCCTCTGCTTTTCTGTCTAGCGAACGCAAAAAATGTTCCACTACACATTTTGGTTGTCAAAATCATGGATCTAATGAGTCTGACTGCTCGGGACCTTTCCAACAAGTGTCTTGAAGCCTTTCAAACTTGCTTGACTTTTCGCTCTCCCGACCCCGATTCGTCCAATCAGCACGCATCTTATGATGAGCGATTTGAGTATCGCTTGGCAGACTTTAATCTCTGGATCGACGGTATCGGCGCCTTGGCCCCTTCAAAAGCTTCACTAGACGCCAGGTTGAGCGAGCGACCGATCGACCTTTCTCTGGTCAAAGGAAACCTTGTTATGCTGTTTCAGTCGCTCGAAGACTGTTTGAATCTACTCAATGACAACGGGTCCCTCGAAGACACTTTGCTTGATGTTGACTCGGCCTTGGAAAGTCTCGTAACTTTGTCTCTAGCTATTCGTAGGACAGGGCGTCGATCGCGGCTTCACAAAGCAGATCGCCTTTTCAAACCGGAAGAACATGCTGAGTTGAGGAAACACTTGGAAGCCATTATTGTTCTACGTCCTGGGTCTGGTCCATGCTTTACAGATGATGAGTTTCGAACCAAGATCGAGTCGCTGACACCACTGCAAAACCATCTTATCACGGCCAACTTGAAGCGGAGAAATCGTTTCATACAGGCTCAGCTACACTCTTTGGGTTTGAAGAAAAGAACTGTTGTCTTCGAGTTGCCAACCCTCGAAGCCGTGGAAAAAGGTTCCAACCCAGTCCCCATTTCAACGAGTGAATTAGAAGAGGTTCCTGTCCCCATTGTCTCCGATACTGACGCTCAACCTCACAAACCGCTGCCAGCACCCATGTCAGTCACCTCAGCTTCGGTGCCGGAAAGTAAGCTCGAATGCAGAGAGCCCATTTCCAAGAGATCAGAGTCTACACCAATGACCGTCATTACTCAGATCACTGCGTCTGCTCGATACCCCCGTCCACGAGTATATGATAACGAGCAAAGGGTTGTCCAGTGTCCGTGCTGCTGTCAGACCTTGCCATTAGCAGAGGCTAAAAACAACAACCAATGGAGGTGAGATTGCCCGTCAACATTTTAATTTATCGTTTGTTTCTATTTGTTTCTCATGCCTTTTCCAATGTATAGAAAGCATCTAGCAGAAGACATACGCCCGTATACCTGCATATTTGACAGCTGTCCTACACCAGACGTGTACTACAGCAGTAGGTCGATGTTAGAACAGCATTTTCGACAGAATCATCCACCAGTCTGGGTATGTCCTTTGTGTGACGAAGAGTCAGTTTATCCGACCATGAGTGAAATGATGGATCATATTCATAAGGCCCATCCGGAAAACGGGGAGGACATCTCATCGATTATCTCATCGTCTGCCCAGACTAGAATGGGTATAAAGAGCTGTCCCCTCTGTGAACTTAGCGGTCTACCCGATTCTCTAGAACTCATAGACCACGTCCTGGAGCACGTACACGACTTCTCACTTCGGTCTCTTCCATGGCCTAGATCCTCAGAAGTTGATATCGGCGGTGAAGTCGGGTCTTTCAACTGGGAAAGTGGTGAGGCTGCTGCTATCACGCAATGGCTGGAGGTTTATGAACATGAAGCGGAAGACATTGATCCTACATTGGAGCTGTCAATCTGCGACCATGGAAGGCTGGCAATCATGACTGAGCAGATAGCGTCTAGGAGACAGGACAAGCTTGGCCTTGATATCGGCTTTGCTGACGAGCATGGCGACGAATCTGCTGAGGCTGAGACTGATATCTCAGAGCTTACCCAAGACACTCTTGAATCGGCCAAAGAAGCTCGTGATGTGGTCTTGTGCCATGAATGCTCTTCTAGATGGTATAGAGATGAAGATGGAATGCAGTGTCCCAGATGTCAAAGCGAGTTTGTCGAAATTGTGAGTTGCCTACTACTGTTTCCTACGTGTAATAATACTAACGACTGTCAATAGGTTGATCCAGAAAGTGGCTCTGAGAGTTCAGATCTTCTCGGAACTGTTACGAGGCCTGGATTCGCTACGGTAGATCGTGGTGATGGATACGGTGAGGACATCGGGCATTCAAGCGACGCCGCAGGCTCCAAACCAAACACTCGGGAGTCTACCTCTGGCTTTCGAAGGCTCACTGGCCGCCTCTTCTCCCGCATAAAGGCCGACTATATTGAACCCCGGCTGACACAGGAGACCCTTGAGACCCTTTCCCAGTTTCTGATGCTCGAGCAGAAGGCAGTAGCGAATCAGAAGGCCTGGATGGTACTGGCCGAGATCTACTTCAGGCGGCTAGACTCTCCCGAGAAAAGACAGTCTATGTTTGCGAGTTTCATCAGAGATGTTCAGGATGAGGATGTTGTGTCAACCCATCCACCTGTATCTGATTTGAGTAGCTTTGCACAAGTTATGGTCGAATTTTACCTGAAACCACTCAAAGAATTGCCCCCAAAAGACCTTTCAAAACCTATATCAAATTACTTTATCAACAGCAGCCATAGAACTATCCTCAGTGGATTACCTGGGCCTCGACCGCCCAATGCTTATGCTGCAATCCATCTGGTAAGTCTAGCATCCCACCCAAGATGAGTACACCCTTAACTGGGGAACAGGTGCTTTACTTTGGATATAGATCCATGGATCTGGATGTTTGGAATGGGACTAGTAAAACAGAGGAGCCAGACATTCAAGTAAGCAAGCTGCGTGAATCTAGACCCGGAGGGGCAACGAAGACAATCAACCGGCTCTTGGGCCGGATTGGAGCAACCAGTACACCAAAGCCTGTGGATCTGCAGACCACAGTTCCTGAATCAGGCCACTTGAGTACCCCTACAGAACCAATCGTCACAGATGGCCATGCTCTCATGACACCCTGCGGCTTCAGGGAAGCCTGCCAGGTGATCAGAGAGTCTGCTTTTGTCAGTACTGATCTACCAGTGATCGTCAATCTGGAAGTCCACACAGACTCTTACCAGCAAGAACTGATGGTTAAGATCATGAAGGAAGAATGGCGTGATGTTCTGGTAGATAAGCCACTTGAGGGCTGCGATCCACGATTTCGGCTACCAGCATTGGGAGATCTCCGAGGTCGGATACTCGTTAGACTCGGAGCGATAATAAGTCCTCCGGCTCTTCACTCTGCTCAATTTGACCTGCCTGGCGAACCTCGCTATAGGCCACGCCGTAGCCCCATTATACAGTCACTGGCTGATCTTGCGGTATACTTGCGACGGGAGGAGTTTGAGGGTTTCACCGATATGCAATCAAAATCTCCTATTCATCTTTTCTCCATGCAGGAGACCAAGGCACAAGAGCTTATTTCGACATCACCCACCAAACTATTTCGACACAACCTGGAGTACTTCTTTCGTGTCTATCCGGGCTCAGCAAGACAAGGCACTCCAAACCTCGATCCTGTACGATTCTGGAGATACGGTGTTCAGATGGCCGGTATTGACAGAAATCACGTCGATGATGGCATGATGTTGAATGAAGCAATGTTCGCTGATGAGTCAGGATGGGTTCTGAAACCCGACGGCTATCGAAGCTCAAAAAAGGACACATCAAACGACCTTGTAACAGGTCCACGGAAAAGCCTTGATTTGTCTATATTCGCTTTTAAAGACCAGGAATTTATGACCGATACTGGTCGAGAAATCAAGAACCTGGCGTCGTTCATGATGGTCTCACTTCACATTAATGATGAGGAAAAGCCTCGCGTACCCAGACAAGAACTAAACACTACAGAAAATGAATCAGGGGCTTTAGGATATAACCTCAACTTCCTTATTACAAGGGCAGAGGCTACTATTATCCCTAAACTTTGCATCCTCAGGTGATGAACCTTCCCTTAGCATAGATGAGACTAACAGTAGTGTCAGGTTGACATTTGCGACAGGCTTATCAAAGGATCATCTCTTTGCGTGGGCCAGTCTAAGGCTAGATCGCCTGAATCAAGGTTTTCGGCTAGTACAGCTTTACGACAGCAAAGGGATGATATTGATGCAACAAAGGATACTTTTAAAGTTTAACATTAGATGGGAGTAACAAGGCACATTCTAGAAGTCAGTTTGAATCTGAATAAGATCTTCATTCTAGTACCTCTGAACTACTTCTCAGTCTTACAATGTCCACTACCTACTCAATGGTAGCATTAATCTCCTTGGCAACGCGAGCAAGCGCAGCAGAGTCCAGCTCCCCAGCCTTATCCGGCAGAACCATACCCTCAAATGGTGCGCCAGAATCCTGGATCAAGGTCTCAATGCCCCGACCATTTGCGACTGAAAAGAACTTGACAAAGGGCGATGCAAAGTCCAGCTTGAAGCCTTGACCGGCCGAGATAACCACCGTCTCACCGTCGTGAAGCTCGTTCACACCCGATGAGCCTTGTAGCTCGACTCTCAGCTTGCCCTCGACGATGAAAAGACAGTGATCGATGGTCGCGAACTTGATGTATGATTCGAAGAATGTGTTTTTGTAGGTGCTTGACGATTCAATGCTTGAAATGGCGAATCTCCCTCCATTCTGACTGGCGAGGATGAATGGACGAGACATAACACCGCCGGACATCCATCGCGGTCCGGTGTTTCCCCGGAGAAAGTATGGTTGACCAGGCTCACCCAGCTTATTCTCCGTTTCAAGCCACTCGCCGAATTCAGGGACATGATAGTTGTGATGAGGCATAACATAGTGTACGTCGAACTTATCCTTAGCAGCCAACATCATTTCAATCATCTTCTCTTCATCTCTTATCTGCGAGTTCTCTGGGAGGACCAGGCCATCGAATGGAATGCTCGAGAAGCGGAAGAAGTCAATCCAGTCGCCGGGGGCAACAAGACAGAACGACTCGGTGTGAGGCCCAATCCACTGGGGGTTATGGATGACTTTCTAAAACGAGTCTGAGTGTCACACTCTTACACTGCTTTGGGCGGTTTGTTATTGACTCACCGGCGGCGCGTAGGCAAAATCGCCTGGAGCTAGAATGCGGCACTTGTCACCGACCCACAGCTTCACATAGCCCTTGGTCACCATGAAGATATCGTGGGCTGTTTCGTGCCAATGGAAGCCTGGGGGGTCAGACATAATCGCACCGCCGGCCATGACAGCGAGGCCGCCATTTGTCTGCTTTGAAGAGGCGAGAATGCGGAAGACGCCGTTCCAACCTGGCAGGTTGAGCTTTTCACCCGCCAGCTGAGGGAGGACGTAGGGCGTGCGGGATTCCGGCGGGATGCTGACGACTGGGATGGTCATTTTGTCGAGCTGGGTTGGAAGTTGAGGTAGTTGGGGTTGTGGGTTGATTGGAAGGTTGAAAGTCGTGCTGGTGAAGGCTTGAATGATAACGATAATACTCACGAAATGAGCTGCTCATATATAATGCATGGTTCATCGATAAAGATAGACTTTGTCGGACTACACCTTACCCCGGATTATCGCTGAATTCTAATCCACCGTGCATAGAGGTTCCCGCTCCGATCATCTGATACAGACCCGAGGAGTAAAGTGACTGACCGAACGGTTACAGATCCCGGCAGATGGTTTCTATAGCCTAAGCCTAGATCATAGCTTCCAGCTGATCCAATGCCCGGCTTTGGCGTTAATTCTCATCTGATAAAGCCGATCTGGAAAACGGCTGGAAAAACCAGCATGTGATCGTGATTCCGATCGTCTAGATCAAAAGAGCATAACCTATAGTGATTCCGTCGCCCGGGTTTTGCTCTAATCTCCGAATGCAACATGCATTCCGATACTCTAACTCAAAAGAGTATAGTCTACTGGGGTTCCGTTCTGATTGGAGAAAAGAGCAGATGGGGTTCTCAGAAACTTGCAAAAGCCGGAGACCCGTGAACCCCACTTTATTCTGATACGCTGGATATGGGTCTTGAGAAACAGAGGAGAAGAGAGGCTAGAGGATATAACCTAGAGCCTCGGAGGATTTTTCAGCTTGATACCTATAAGCTGTTCTCTGAGTCATATATGCCAAGTCGGTTAATTATTTCCAAGCAAAGCTTGAATCCTCTATTTCATATTGAGAATGAGTGCCCTAAGCCACTTCTCAGCGGTTTATAAACGAGTTGACGGGGAGGATATTACCTCGCTCATCTACCCCCCAGACTCAGCCACTCTCAAGTCCAGGCCATGTCCAGTTAGTATGTGCACTTCAGAATCATCAATGCTGTCCATGTTCTCATATGCGATGATACGATCCAAGAACATACTTAGAAGCACAAGATCGCTCGTTTTATAAGATGCAGAAAGATCTAATGTGTTTCAGTCATTAATATCCACGGAGGCGCCTTCATAGTGGGCTCAGCCCGTATGGTCAACCAGGACCAGATTGAACACTGCCTAGAGCGCGGATGGATCATGGTTGTCCCAAACCATCGCCTCTGTCCTGGCGTTGACCTTCTCGAAGGCCCCATCACTGATTGCCGAGACCTTCTATCGTGGATCTACGATAAGGGTCTTGAGAAAGAGATCGCCAAGAACAGCCCACCAAACACTGAGATTAGAATTGACTACGATCATGTCTTTGCGTCTGGCACATCTTCTGGAGGCCATCTCAGCTTATGCCTTGTTAGTATAATCTGGGCATATTGATGTCTGCTATGTATTATTCCTATGACTGTCTTGCTTACATGAGTTACAGGGCTTCGACGTTACACGTCCGCCAGCGGCAATCTTTGATATTTACGGCCCTTGCCACTTCCAGCATCCATTCTGGAAGTCTAAGCTAGATCGAATAGCTTCTATGCTCCCCAAAGGTTTAACCCCCGTGTTTATGAACCAAGTCTATCAGCAACGACAGGTTCCCATAGAGGCAGGCATCTCCCTCGAGGGCCAAGCCAAGGGACCGGACTTTAACGACCCCCGACAGGCCCTCTGCTTTTCGAGTCTTGCTGATGGCAAGCTTCTCGACGTGGTTTTTCCCTCAGGAGACTGGAAAAAGGTCGATCCCCTACTGAACATCAGCGAATCATTCCCTCCTACCTTCATTGTGCACGGCGATGCAGATACAATGGTTCCTCTTGATCTAAGCCGCGAGCTATATTCGGCGCTACAGAGATCTGGGGTGGAGTGCGGACTGCGTGTAATTCCTGGTGAAGAACACACATTTGCTGCCAAGATGAAGAAAGGGTCTCAAACATGGAACTTGCACCTCGAAGGATATGAGTTCTTGGAGAGTATACTTCAGAGGAGATAACTGAGATGACGTTGATATCTTATTTTACAGACTGGGTCTCCAGTGTTGAGGAATTCGCGTTTATACAATAGTGACATAGATGGAAATTGGGTATCTTCCTTGATTTACGAACAAATTTAGAACACAGAATCCTAGCTATTCTCATTAAGTTTAATATAGGCGACTGTTAATGTTCACTTCTTTATCGTGAGGACATTAGTTGGGATGGCTTATAGTACTTATCAGCATCTTGAAAACTCCTAAAATATCAAGGTCTACATGACCCTTCACAAACGAACTTGTGTGATATTAGCCATGAAAATGTTTGGGGTACTCTAATCAGCTGCTACATACCGATTTCTCTTCCACGTCTCAAGTCAGGCCTCCATGTGACAAAGGTACCGCTTTGACACCTAGTAGAACACACATACCGTAAAGAAACATCTGGCATCTGCAGAGAGGTGGATCTGTCACCACTCCCCCGCGCCGTACACCGGGAGTCACTAGCGGCACGAGAGCTGCCGCGCCAATTCCTCGGATGTACCTCCTTTGCCGTGTCGGACTTAAGCATCCCCGCCACCTGCACGAGACAGCCTTCCGATCAGATCTAACCCACGAGGGACTTCCGAGGAGACTAAGGGCGGAATAGGAGGATCCTGCTTAAAGATTTCAAGTGTTTATGGTGGAGATCAGACCCAACAGGAAGTGGCATTTCGGCCATATCGCATTGTTCCGACACAACTATTCTTCTATTTGAGATACTGTTTCCACTATCTTTATTCAACATTATTTTCACCTCAGAAGACCTTGAATTTCCTTTCAAAGCTTCAAAACCTATTAAAGTTATAGCTCATAATGGCATCCTGGAAGCGTACGCTCACTACCCATCATCCCGGCTGGACTTCTCTAACCCGAAATTCACAGGATTGGCTAGATTCGTCCCAAAGGAGTTTCCCTTCAAAACGCTAATTGGTGAGCCTGAAAACCATGCCATTGACGTCGGACTTGCGCTGTATAAAAGCGAAACCGTCAAGGCGAGAGTCTTCAGCGGCAGTTCAGTGCTCGAGCCAGGTGCACCATCCGGAGAGGTCGTCGAAATCGATCGTGTGCTATCGCCTCTGACACAGGCTGAGGTGGGAACGATAAGATGCATTGGACTGAATGTAAGAATAAGAACCTATATGGCCTATGCTGAAGACAAGTTTGATCAGTAAAGCTGACGAAAATCCCAGTACAAGGCACATGCAGCTGAAGCCGGCTTGGAACCCCCGACTATACCGACTGTCTTCTTGTGAATAGCACCCTCATGATTGGCCTTGCTATTTATCACTAACGCTTCCGAAGGAAACCAGACACAGCCCTCGCCGACCCCTATCCCGCGCGCACCATCCTCCCCAAGCTTACTCAAGTGGACGACTCTGGCGACTATGAGAGCGAGCTGGCCATCATCATCGGCAAAGAGTGCAAAAACGTATCTGAAGCCGATGCTTACGATTACGTGCTAGGCTACACCGCGGCCAACGATGTGAGTTCCAGGACAAGTCAGTTCAATCAGAGCCAGTGGTGCTTCAGTAAAGGTTTCGATGACTCTTGTCCCATCGGTATGCTCTCCTATAATGTCTGGAGTGTCCTAGTATTAACGGAGTTGTCACAGGGCCGGTCATCGTGTCTAAATCACTCATTCCGGATCCTCATAAACTCAACGTCCGGGGTTTGAAGAACGGGCAAATGTTGCAGGAATCCAGCACGGACGATATGATCTTCAATGCGCCAAAGATAGTTAGCTTTCTGAGCCAGAGCACGACGCTCAAGGCGGGCACTGTTATTATTACCGGGACCCCGGCGGGTGTGGGGATGGTACGAAAACCGCAGGTGACGCTTAAGGAGAATGATGTGTTCTTCGTTGAGATTTTGCCGTATATCGGGACTTTGGTAAATACTTTCCAGAATGAGCAATAATCTGTAATCTTCGGTCGAGATCGTATTCTTCGGAATTGAATATACATAACGTTTGCTTCTAGCACAAGGTTAAGGTGTCTCTGAATCTATACAGGCATGGTCAGTCTTCCCCTCGTGACCAACAGCCTCGTCCTGTCCTGTTTGTCATGTCGCTGTTCGGTCTCTCGTGGCAGGTGTCTAGGTCCCGGTCTCTGCCCTAAGTTCAACACGGCCGCAAATGGCAAAGTCAGACACTTACGTCTGCCCTCGTAGATGTCTCTGATGACGACTAGACTTGAAGTTTAGATAGCATAACGAACACATGTGTTAAAGCATAGATAGAGAGAGAGACTATTGGTAAAAGGTTCATCGATAAGCAGCAGGTATCAGGTTGTCGGGCTAATGGCGGCCACCTGATGAAAAGACTTGTAATGCTCTCGCAAAATCGATGCTATCGCTTGAGCTGCTGGCCAGTCGAAACCATCAAGAGTGTTTGTAGACTCATGAAGCAGTCTCCTTCCTGCTCCCTTGTCCCAAAGACACCCTACGCCACCAAGATATAGACGCCTTTCCTCATTAGTATTGATCCATTCCTTCAAGTAGTCTTTTCCTTCATCCAATCGAACAGTCAATAATAGATCAATGTCATCTACTTTTGGCTTGTTCCCTAGCTCAATCCAAGCCCATATCAGCAGCGTTGCTACCAAGAATCCCATCGTCTCATGCTGTGCTCCGGTTTTGCTTCTGCGAATCATTGACCACGCGTTACAGGCGTGCATGAGGGCTTTCCGTGCTTCACTTTTGCTTTGGATCCAAATACGTAACTTGGCGTGAACAATAGCACGTTGGGTGGTATCTACCTGCCAGCCCGAGAATGCGTAAAGCTCTTGAACTGGTGCATAGATAAAAATTGATAGTAAGTGGGAGAGACTCTCAACAGCACCGGAGAGCCTTGAAGGCGGAAGTGTTTTGGCGTGGTCCTGGAGGATGCCAAGGTAGATCGGTGCACGGTTGAGCCTGTCGGAATGATATTTGACACCTACAATCAACAGCAGTGTGCTAAAAGGATCTGAAGTGTCAATCTTTTGAGTGCGATAAAACTCGGATAGGACGGTTCCAAAAGACGCGGGCTCATACAATGCTATGACGAAGCTGTCAGCTACTTTGGCTCTATGGCCCGTTCATGGAAGGTAATCACAGGCATACTTTTATGTTTCTTCCATATTTCCTCACAAGAGGCCTCCCAAAGCTTGGGATGGAAAGGTGCGGGCAGCTGTAGGCAATCAATGGTTGCTATGCCTAAGCCTGACCAAAAGCAGTTGTACTCGCAGTCGAGGATCTAGTGCATGATTAGCCCTGCCCATATTCCGTATGGTGTGATTGAGAGTTTACTCACCCAAACTGAGTAGAATAAGCGGTGAAGACTTTCCTTCTTGATCCAAGCGGCCCAATTGTCTTCGCCCGACTTTTCACTGTCGAGAGGTTGACAAAAGGCGTCGAAATTGGTGTAACATGCCATCTTTCGGCACAGAGTCTCAAGGAGCGCCCTCGTAATAGGTACAGTCTCGATTCGTGCAGTCTCTGGACCAAACATCATACCGAGTTGATATAGGAGAACAGCCTGTACGAAGGAAATATCTAATTGCGAACTTCGGACCCGTTCAGACTAATAACAACGTTAAGAGCAAGACACGGAACCGCAAGATTAAATGACAGCCATACCTGGACATGTATAGCACGTCGTAGGAGCTCTAGCAAGTCGAAGGATGTCATTCTCGAATTTGTTGCCCGGGAGAATATGCTGCCAATCGCAGCAACACCAAGGGACAGAATCCATTGGTCCTTTGTTGGGGCAAAAGATGCTTTGTGAAGGAACGGAAGGAGACAATGAAACTCTTCAAAATACACTTGTATGAAGGTATTGATATGAGTGATCGCTGGAAAGTCGCTGTTGGTGAAGGTGGACCAATACTCGTCGTCTCGGTTGTAGCGTGCAAAATGCTTTGCCATTTCTTGATACGCGTCCTCTGACAAACGCGGCACGTGGCAGTAATCCTCTGCGCGCCAGGCATCAGAATCCGGGTCAACACAATCATTTGTAGCCGAAAGGCTCCTAACACTTGACCGTTCATTCGAGGAATGAGGGGATCTGAAATTCTGAGACAGGCTTGGTGTTGGGGTCTCTGATTCAAATCTGTCGGCTTCGAGTTCGCTTGGAACTGGCGGTGGCATAATCTGTGTTGCAGCAGGAGCAAGTTCAGGAACCGTCATCTGGGGCAGTGGAAATTGCTGTGCTGAAGGTGATGGTAAGCTAGGCATTTCTCCCATGGAGAGAAAGTTCTCTAAACTCCAAAAGGCTCCTGCATCGCTGGGGCCAGAACATCCAAAGTCGCCATATACATCGAACACAGACTCGATATCTTGATCTGGGGCCAGGGAAGGCTGAGACGACAGACCATTGATTGGTTCAATGTTGCTCGGCGGCCAGTGTGAGAGTGAAGTAATATCGGAATCTGTCGAGTTCTCTGATTGTTGAGTGGGCCCTGGCTGATGAGCTAATCCTGTGTAGGCTGTCTCATCTTGTAGACCTTGATCACGACTGGCGAAAGAGCTTTGTGTTTTCTGAGCCGCACGTCTGTTTTTCGACGGTGGATACGAGCATTCAAATTGCTTCGTGGTACATCTACCACAGGGAAGCTGGCCATCACAACGTTGCTTCGACTTTGCGCACTTCAAGCAGGCCTGAGCGACGTAGGGTGTCCTGTGCTGCTTCGCTGGGGGTGTCTCCGTCGGCTCATGGATCTGCATGTGCCTAACGAGGATGTCTCTGGGGATACACGTCAGTCTAGGATATGGTCAATAGAGGGTTCGCCTTTTGGTCGCACTTCCGAGAGAATGCAGCGGTGCATTCGCGACAAGAAAAAGGCCGCCGATTCATGTGTCCCTCCCTGTGCCGCTCAAGATGCTCACTCCGAACGAAGACGGCCCAACAGTCGGGACAGACTAGAGTCATGCCGGTGCCCCCTGCGTCGGAACTGCGATGTGGAAGTGTTATAGAGTCCAAGAGTCGGAATATCAGCAGATAAGAGTGATGATGATACAGGGAGATGTTGCTTTGGTATAGAGCGGTCTACCCCGGAATGTTGCTTAACCCCGCATTTCGGCCCCACGATTCGGGACGGACTAGTCTATTTCCCCGAAGACTAGCCCCAATTCCATAGCTTCACAAAGCATGGCCTGTTAAGAACACGCATACATACATTAATGAACACTATATGACTGAAGCGTATTATTCATCGAGCTATAAGCAATTCAGTAGATCTACTTGATTCCCCGTACTTGAACAAAAAGCAACAGAGGAAGTGAGCTGGGAACCCAGTGCAATTGGTATTATGGCTAGACGTGTGGTAGTGCGGACCAGCGAACTCCACCCCCGCAATTCCGAAACTACATGAACTTGATCGGAAGGAAGAAATGCCGTGTTGTAGCTACTATTCGCTAAGCTAAGATCTAGACCGACCAGGACAGTGACAAATGGCTAGACTTACGAGACTTGAACACTCAAGCATGTAACTCTAACAAGGATACCGCGAGCTAATTCCTCAGGTGCAGCTCATTCTGAAGATCGACTATATCCTCGAGGCCGGCATCCTCGGAAGCTTCAGTTTGCCGTCTGCGGGGCCGGAAGACCCAGTCCTGTTTATTCCAAGCAGGATGTATCTTCCGCGGATGAGACTGGAGATCTAGATTCAGGCAATACGAGATTGCGGGGAAGCAGGATGACCAATCTGTAACATAACTTATAAATGCCCCAATCAGGACCTCTGGATTGGCATATGAAAAGTAACTTCTAAAGAGTGTCATTTCTTGACTTTTATACCCCTCAGTATCTCACCACAACTCAATCCATTATTCCATCAAGTGCAGCACTTACAATGCATATCCTTGGTCTTTGCAATGGCTCTCTTCATGGGAATTCTGAGATCCTACTCAAAGCAGCCCTGAAAGCGGCTACAGCCACCGACTCGTCAATCACTGTGTCTTGGATTCACGTACCCGCCGTTGTACTACCGAGACAGCACCTACCCTTCAGAGATGATCCATCTATGATACCGTATCGAGACGATGGAAAAGAATACGAATCCAGGAAGAGAGAGACTGATGACCGCGAGGCTGTGTTTGAAGCCATCATGGATGCCGACGCCATTATTATTGCAAGCCCGGTATACAGCCATCAGCCCGCCGGAACCCTGAAAGCTCTTGCTGATGCCATCCTTGGACCTTACGCTGATGTGTCCATGGCCTATGACCTCAGACGTCGACAGCAAGAGGGTGATGAGTCTGTGAAAGACGTCAAAGTTGATCCGCGAGACTTCAAGCCTCGTGTAGCTGGCTTTATTGCCGTTTCTGGGTCTAACCCTACATTCCCGGAGCAGTGGACAATGGCTCTACCGACATTGCAGACGTGTATATACCCTATTCACTCCCGCGTGGTTGATCAGGTTGTACTCTCGGGGTATGCAAGCCCAGGATCTGTGTTGGCGGATTCCGGAGCTGCTCTCGCACGTGCTGAACTGCTGGGCCGTCGCGTGGCTAGCCAGATGGGAAAGCCATACGACGAGGCACAGTATCTAGGGCCCGAGGAGAGCGGGAGCTGTCCTTACTGCCATCTGCTCAAGATTGAGTTTCGTGAAGGAAACAAGGTTGTTTGTATCACATGCGGCGCAAATGGTGTTCTGGAACTAGGACCTGGGGGGGATGTTCGACCGAGATGGGAAGAGGACTCGACTGTTAGTTGTCTGACGCTTAAAGGTAAAATACAGCACAGACACGATATTCGAGATAAAATGGCCTTGGAGCAACCAAAGCTGGCGTCTGTTTCTCCTGCTTTTGCCAAGTGGAAGAGTTTGGAATTTCCCTTGGCTCCTCTGCCTAGCTTACGGGAGAAGATCTCAGGCCGTCTATGAGTTCCTTAGGGAAATAGCCAAAGACTGCTAAGCTCCTAAGTTTTGTTATTCTTATATAGCTTGTTTATTTCTTTATTTTCGTCTCACTCTACCACTATCTATTATACTAGTAATACAGCAGTCGTGCTGTATTTATATACTTTTAGCACTTAATGTTTGCTGGGAAGTTTTGCTGTTTCTTGAGTAGTGTTTATCTGTGCTACATTTATGAAAGCAATAAATCAGACAGCGAAGCCTCAAACTCGAGTCTCTTCCCGTTAGACTGAATTGCCACTTATTTATCTCCATTCTTCCTCAAGGCCAACTGTGCCTCACGCATCAGCTTAGACGCCTCCCTCCAAGCCGGTCTCAAGCTCACTGTTTCCCACCAACGTCGCAAGTGCGGCAAGCCAGTAAAAAAGACATCATCTCCACCTTTTAGATCAACAAGCTGAAACACCCAAGGCATCGACCAAATATCAACAAGGGTAAAGTCGGATCCTGCGAGATACTTGCGACTAGATAAGATATTATCTATGACCTTCAAGTCGCTATTTAGTCCATTCGAGATCTCCTGCGCTGTCTCCTTATCTAGGCGAGGTACGCCTAGTAAACTTATCAAGATAGTAGTTAGAATGGCATCTGGCAGCTGAAGAAGGCGTCTTACGGTCTGATGAGAATGTCTGAGGCGTATTGGAATGCCTTAGTCGAGAGATAAGAAGCCTCGACTGACGCAGCTTCCTCAAACGAAGCCATTGCGCTCACATTGGTGATATCTGGTATCAGATCATTTCCCTTGTCGGAAAAGGCAATGGCAATATAGCGGGCGATTGCGCGACTCTCTTTGCAAGATTAGTCTGTTGGACTGGTAGTGTTTAGCGACATGAACGGAGGCCATACCACAGATCCGAAGCACTGTCTCTCCTCTATCATCCACCACATCTAAAACAGGTAGTTTGCCAAAGGGGTTCCTTTTCAGATGCTCGGGGCTCTACACAAGACTCAGTACATGGCGTCACAGAAGCTGTCATGTGAGTCTAATCATATAATCACTCACTCGAGACTCAGACTTAACAATGTTGACATGTCTATACTCCCAATCGAGACCCTTTTCAAGCAATGTATGCACGGTGGTGATAGTATATGGAGAAATGTAATCTCCGTATAAAACAAGTTTGGTTGACCTAGGTATATATGTTAGTACTTGATATGTTAAGAAGCGGAAGCGCAAGTATTATGCACATTTTGAAGGTCTACTTGCTGGATTAGGATATATGTTTCTCATCTGGACATTGCCCTCTCTTTATATAATCTGAAAGCCACAGATACAGCTCCGAGGCAAGGCCTCGGCAGGTATGGGTCCTCTAGATCTGAGGCACCTAGTACCAAACAGTTATTTGAAACCTACAAGGTACATTAGAGACCCTTGTTGGATAGACTCTGGGGTAACCCTAGCGCGCCAACCAAGGCCGAGGCATATGTACCCTGTCCCTGGGCGTACCAACTCCAAAAGCTTAAAGCTAAGCGAGCAATTGACTACGCAGTTATGTAGTCAAAGCCCTATCTAAGATCAAATCCTAAAGGCATGCTAATCCGCGGAGGTTTTAGTTTGGTGCGGCGGAATTGCGGCGGAATCCTTACTGCCGTCTGCTAGTGCCGAGACATCCCAGGATATACACACTGCGTCTTCCGCGGACTTGGGAAGGGAGACCCATCAGGGAAGTTAGTGCAATTCGAATCCGGGGAAGATTGGACACTCTAACCCAGTGGAACACATCTGAAGCCGGTGATTTGATGGTACTTAGCCACATGGATAATACCCCGCATTTTGCGATTCGTAGCCTGGACCATTGATTGCGTTTAGGGCCTGAATCCTGACTATATAATACACACGGTGATGATAGCTGTTTTTTACTGCACACACATTGTTTCATTCTATTATCCTCCTCTCGTCACCTCTGCAATCCCAATTTGATCCACCGAGCTTAGATAAAATGGGCGGCAAATCTGCTTTCGAGGGAGTCAACAGCCAACCACCCGCGGCCCAGCAGAAGAACCTGGAAGCCTTCCTCCAGGAGCAGAAAGACATTCCGCATTCTCTTCCATCTTCGCCCGACTTTGCCAAGTTGACCAACATAGGGCTCTTGACGAATAATAGCATACCCTGGGCTGTTGTTCGCCCAGGAAATGCTCTACAAGTCTCCAGGCTTGTGGTGTATCTTGTTGCTAACCGTATTCCCTTCACTGTACGATCAGGCGGCAATAACTTTTTCGGGAAGTCTCAGATCAATAACTCTGTCTGTATCGACTTGCGTTCCATCTCCTTTTGCGAAGTAAACGATGGTGGAAAGACGGCCCGAATCGGAGGTGGTATTCTCTTTGAGAAGCTCATTGGCGATTTGCAGAGCAAAGGGTACTCAGCTGTAACGGGCATGGTGCCTCCTATTGGGTTTGTTGGGTGGTCTTGCTATGGAGGATATGGACCCTTTGCCTGGCTTCATGGCCTGGGGCATGAGTCAATTCTTGGAGCCAAAGTTGTAGATTGGCGCGGTCATATCATAGACGCCGACGCCGACCTCCTCAAAGGAATTCGAGGAGCTGGAGGTGGCTTTGGGGTTATTGTGGAGTTAACCATAAGAATATTTCCACAGGTAAATGTAAGTTATCCTTCCTCTTTTTCATCCTACAATCTTACGCACACATACAGAACAACAACGACTGACCTGACCTTACAAGCTCCTCTCTGGGCATGTGATCTTTGACGAGTCAAACACAAAGAACACAGTGGCCAATATCTGTCGTGAGACGGAACGTCAGCTCTTGCGAGATCCAGCAGAAAGTCTTTACATGGCACCCTTGTTCATCGTCACGCCCCTGGGCAAAGCACCCTTCTGTCAAGTAATGTGGCTCCACGAAGATCAGGAGCAAGGCAAAAGGGAAATTGAAAAGATCGCACAGCTGGGCCCGTTTGTTCACACGACAGTGAGAAATACAACGCACTTGGGCGCTATAGACGACTTCAGAGACAGCTTTGCCATGCCTGGGATGATTGGGAACGTTGGTACCATCAGCGTCTTGTCATTGACAGAAGAGGTCATCGACGTGATTGCGCACCATGTCGATATCATGCCCAATGAGGTTGGTCTGGGTTTCGCGATTCACAGCACCAGAGAGGCAGCTCAGGCATCTTGTTTTCCCGCAACAGAGCGCCATTTCATGCTTGAATTTCTCGGTTGCGTTGACTCGGAGGAAAAGGTCAAGAGGACTGATAAATGGCTCAAGGACTTTATGGAGGCCATCAGAGGAACCAACCAGGCCAGCATTCTTCCCAGTACCTATGTCAACTTAACGGCTCCAGGTCAAAACACGTTGAGAGGGGCATATGGGCCAAACTATGGCTTTCTCTCGAGCCTCAAGAAAAAGTACGACCCACACGGTGTATTCAATACTGCTCTCCCGTTTGTAACATTGGCCTCAGAGGAAGAGTTATTGTTTAGTAAGATGATCAGGATTTAGGGGGCTTGGAGTTGCCGCAGGCGTCTATGACTTCGATTGATATTCAGGTATTAATTCTAGGTGCTCTAGTTATAAACCCAAGGTTCCAAACTTCCAATCTAGAATCAGCATTTTCTAAGTATTTTAATAGGAAGCAAGGATATTGCCTGTAATGAAGTTTAGCAGGCATACTACCTATGAGATGTAGGTTAGTAGCTCGCGTAAATACCATATCCCAATGCTCTATGTATCCTTTACTGGCTCTAGCCCTCGGTCTCGGATAAAAGCCGTACCAAGTAAGCAAAGCCCTATTAAAGGAACCTGCAGTATGAACACACTGTGACTGGCAGACATGTAGGCATCCAAAACCGCAGGAACCTTGCGCATCGACTCTGGCAGCACATATGTCGAACTAGCAAGGTCCTTGTACTCAGCTGGCAGAGTAGCGCGTAATTGGGCTTGAAGGACTGCCGCAGAGATAGCAAGACCGCATGCGCCTCCAATACAACGGTAGAAATTCCTGTTGGAGATGATGACTGCACGACGACTCTTGGGGGAATGAGCCTGTAGTGCGATCAGAGTAGGTTGGAAGATGCACCCGACTCCCATTCCGACAACGCCCAGTATAACACCAATGACGGCGATACTGGAGTGTCGCGTAAGTAGCAAAGCCAGGCCAGCTCCTCTGACGAAGACGTGAGTAATTGGATTGATGATGGAAGAGATTGTGAACAACTTACAATGTCCATACAGCGAAACCGAATATTAGCACCTCGCCATATCGGAGGCGATGGCTGATGTATTGTCCCGAACATACAGAAGCAATCATTTGCGCCGCCACCAACGGAGTGTATATCGCTGCTGACTTCATGGCGCTATACTGGTGAGGGTTCTGTAGATAAAGAGGAACGTAGTACAGGTAGGACTGGTAAACGGCGCCGAGCAGGAAATTTTGGGCAAGCATGATGCTGATGCTTGAGTTTTTGTAGATGTCGACTGCAAAAGTTTGAATCAGAACCGTCTCATAAACGCCTTTCGGCATGTGATCTTACCTGGCATCATGGGAAGCTTTGCCATCTTCCATTCCCATCCTATAAAGGCGAGAAACAAGGAGCCACCGACAGCGAGGAAGCTAATTGACAGTGGTGAGTCCCATGAGAAGTACGAACCTCCTAGATGACGAAGTTAGTTGTGTGTTCAGCTTCTGTGTCGTTTGGGGCCTTACCTCCGGAAATAGGGATTAGCAGTAGAACAATACCAACGCCTGATACCCATGAGCCCACCCAGTCGATCTTGGTGATCCCTTCTTTAAAGCTAATAGTTGGAGGCTTAGAAGGGAGGAAGAAAAAGGATAGTACAGCGGTGAGGAATGATAGAGGTGTCAAGAGCCAGAAGAATCCTCGCCAAGATGATCTCTCCATGATGCCAGCGGCAATGAAGGGTCCGAGTATATTACCCAGTCCGACAGTGGCACCAGTGATGCCTTGGATCTTTCCTCTCTGCTCAAGACTGACAATATCCGAGATGATGATGTTATTGAGGTTCAGAACACCACCGCCGCCGATACCGGCGAGAGCCCGAAAGACATAGAACATGACTGCATTCTGACTAAACGAGCAGAGCAGATCGGAAACACAGAGTAGTAGAGCAGCAGATATGAAAACGACTTTGCGACCAAAGACATCGGATAGTCTGCCGTAGAGCATCTGGAAGCAGGTATTTGCGATCAAACTAGAAGTACCAGCCCATGAAATGGTGGCCTCGGCGTTCAGATCTTTGGCAATGGTGGGTAGTGTCACAGAGATACCATTTTGGTCGATAGTGACGAGGAGTAAGGCTGATGAGAGAGTGGCGAGGGCGATTATGAGTTGGCGGCGAGGCAGGATGTTTACCTGGTCGTGAAGAGCCTTCTCATCCTTGGTGAGCACCATTTTTACTGTGCCAATTGAAGAATTGAGAGGAAAAGAAAGACTGGAAAAGGATTTAAGAATCAATTGAGTTGTTTGTTATGACTCTTCTCCTTGGGCTATTCCTAAACGGGGGACATGAACCACAATTTTCGGACCTTGTCCGCGGGTTTTGTCCGATGCTTGGCAAGGACGGTGAGAAACAGTTGCGAATAAAGATCCAGATTTATTCGCTTCTATATATAGTAGCCTCCAAGTATTCTAGGAAACATATTTGAATCAATCCTGAGTTTTACACCCGTCACTCAGACTTTGGTGGCCATTTCACCCTCCTCTCCGCCTGAACATACAGATTATTCGGCCGAATCAGCTGGAAGTACGGATCATACTCAATAGGCCCATCCTGCGCCAAGCTAAACTTGTACCGATACACAAGCTTCGGTAAAAATACCTTGATCTCCTGCAATGCAAAATTGAACCCGACACACATTCTGGGACCTGTCGCGAACGGGATGTAAGACCCAGGAGGCCGATTCTTAACCTGTTCTGTATCCCAGCGATCAGGGTCAAAGCGGCCAGGGTTCTCCCATACGTCTTTGTTATTGTGCATGTGATGTAGTGCTGAGATTACCACTGCGCCTTTGGGGAGTTTGTAGCCTCCTGGGAGGATCATATCGACTTTTGCGGTGCGAGCGGGCTGGAAGGAGGGATTGTGCAGGCGTTGGGTTTCTTTGATGAATTTATCGAGGAAGCTGAGCTTGTTTGTTGTTTCGGCTGTGACTTGGGTGTCTTCGTCCCAGTCGTTGTCGATTAGTTCTTGGAGGAGACGTTCTTGGTTGCCTGGGTACTTGACGAGACTGTAGATCAGCCAGGATAGCAAGGATGACGTGGTGGTGAAGCCGGCGGCGGTAGCTACGAGTAGGGTTGGGGCGAATTGGGAGGGCGGTAACTTGCTGCCCTTATTGTCCTTGGCTCGGAGGAAGTAGTCTAGACGGTCAGTTAGGCCCTGAACCCATTCGCATACACGTATGACTTACCAACAACATTCTCAGCCTTGAGCGCTGCATCCTGAAGCTCCAGATCCTCTTGCCCCTTCGAAGCTCTGGCAATAGACTCCGTCATCATCTCCATGATCCTAGCCATCGTATCCCTAACCTTCTTGGGATCACCAAACGGCATCTTAGCATACCAAGCTCCCATAGAAGACACTTTCTTATTCAGCTCCAAGTTCTCCGCAATCTTGAGAACCATCTCATGCAGCGGCGCGTCCACCTCCTCAAAATGCGCAAAGTCCATACCTAGAACAAGCTTACCCACTGCCTGCGACCCAAGTTTCAGCATATACTGGTAAACATTCCACGCCTCGCCCTTTTCGTCAAGCTCATCGAAGACTTTGAAGGATTTCTCTACAGTTCGCTGCATCGTAGGAGCGTAATGCCGAACTGCTTTTGGTCCAAGCGCAGGCGGGAGGAATTTATGAGCAAGACGCCATTGCTCTGTGTCGGTATCAGCTAGAAAGACACCTGCTTCTTGGTTCTTGATCGGGTGGAGGGGATGGCCTGGGACGATGTCCTTTGTGAAGTAGTGGTCTTCAGCGAGGAAGATGTTGGAGAGTTCGGCGCTGTTGGTCTGGTAGAGACGGTTACCCATGCTGTTTGTGACGAATAACGGTCCGTATTTCTCGAATAGGCGTTGGTGATTGCCGAGATGATCGGGGTAGATCTCGAGGTAGTTGCCGAAGTACGGGATGCCAGCTGGGCCGGGGACATCGCGAACAGCATTGCCGTTGATAGAGACTGCAATTGGTTCGTCTTTGTCTAGGACTTCGGACACTGCATTGAGTCTTTTGTCATCGTGAACAAAGCCGACACCTAGAATGTTCAAGTTAATCGCTTGCGTTTGTGATGCTGTTCGGGGAAACATACCGTTTGGCTTGACGATCGCAAAGTGGGATGCGACAATGTTCTGAAGCACCTCAAAGTCAACAGCCGGCGGCAGATCGACTTCTCTGGCTGTTGAAGGTGCCTCGCCCAAGAGATAAAATTGTTTTGTTGACATGATGACAATTGTGATCTGAATGAATAGCCAAGACTATCTGTACAAAGTAGAAATGCTCAGAGTCATCGGTTGTTATATGGAGGAAACTCTAGAAGGCGAAACTATTCATGCATGGCACATGCGAATACCCATTCTCGCCATCTTGTTATTACACCGCAAGCAAGGATACGGGAGACAACATATCTTTCGCCTCGCACTGCAAAGTGAATGACGTTAAAGTCCTGCATTAAACAAATTTTATCGTTGCATCCGTTAATCTCTCGGCATATCCGTGTCCGCAGATTTCTGGGTCTGATTACACTATTTGTTACGATTGGATGATGCAAACGGGAATATCGGAAGGACCCGTGCCCTGTCGGTACTCGCGTTTAGTATAATCGCGAAGACGGAAATAAGAGGGATTTTCTCTGCGATGTTCAGGGTTCTCTGGCCAATGGAGCGTTATGTGTTACATCAACAGCGGAATTCGCATTGTTTCACCGACTGCCTCCGGTTAAAGTGGGCCATAGAGTGGATCGGCCTCGGTCATGGGGATCCACTACGGGCCCTGAAACCTCGGCATTGTTGGGGGCCCACTACGGAGCTTGACTCCGGCCCGCTGTGGGCACATGCGAATGGCGGCATAATCCTGCATGGTCCAGGGATCCTTTGCTTGTGAGTATTACGGTATGTGGCCAAGTTGTGACCGCCTAATACGCAAGCACTGAGCTGTTTAAGAGAACTGTCCGCAGGACCCAGTCTCTGTTATTATTATCCGAATAGTCAAGGCCGTCGCCAAATACCTGCTCCTTAATCGCCTATACCAATCTCTTCTTTGAGTTTTACCACGGGCAATGGAAGAATTTACGATCAAGCAGGTCGCTGAACATAACAGCCCTGAGGATGCATGGCTAATCATCCACGGCCAAGGTACGCTACAATCGCTCCATCTGAACCACTCGCTAATCCAGAACAAGTCTACAACGTAACAAAATATCTGGCAGATCATCCTGGTGGCGCCGATGTTCTCACTGAAGCAGCTGGTACAGATGCCAGTGAAGACTTTGACAACGCTGGACACTCAGAAGATGCCTTTGAGATCATGAAAGACTGCTGTGTTGGCAAGGTCCAGGGTTTCGAGAAGAAGAAGCCCAAGCTTAAGCCACTTGCACCTGTAAAGGCTGTAAAGGCCCAAACTAGCGGATCCTCATCAGTTTCGGCGCTGTTAAACTTGGGCTTCATTGTCTGCGCTGGTGCAGGAGCATACTGCCTCGGTCGCAACCAAGGCTTTACCGTGCCGAACTGGCTATTGGCGTCGTTACGTAGCGACTCAGCTGGCTCAAGCTTCATCAAAGGCATCATTGTTGGAGGTGGATCTCTTGCAATTGCTAATGCCGTCGCTGCGCAGCGATTTACTAGCATGGCGATGAAAAGCAAGCCTTTCACGAGTTATCCTGCCCATATGAAGGTTCCCAAGCGAGCTCAAGAAGATACATTGTTGCAGAGAGGACTTTTGGATCCAGTTACCTACTCGCCGCTTCCGCTCAAGCAAAAGGCCCTCATCGCACCAAATGTTTACCGCTTGACGTTCAGCCTTCCGACCACGAGCACGATTCTTGGCCTGCCGATTGGTCAGCACGTCACCATCAAAGCCGACGTCGATGGAGAGAGCGTCGCAAGATCATATACGCCTGTATCTAACAATTCTGACCTTGGCGTTCTGGAACTTGTCATCAAGGTGTATCCAGATGGCAAGCTCACAAGCAAGTATTTGGCGAAGCTCGAGGTCGGAGACGAGGTTCTCTTCAGAGGACCGAAGGGAGCAATGAAGTATCAACCAAACCTTTGCAAGAAGATTGGCATGATTGCTGGTGGCACAGGTATCACCCCAATGTTCCAGGTGATTCGTGCTATCTGCGAGCATGACCGTGATACAACGGAGATTTCTCTCATCTATGCAAACAGAACAGAGCAGGATATTCTGCTTCGTGAAGAGTTGGATAGGTTTGCGAGGAGATATCCCAAGAACTTCAAGGTGTATTATATGCTGGATCAGCCGCCGCCCAACTGGGAGTTTGGGTCGGGTTATGTGACTCGGGACTTAATGAAGGAGAAGCTCCCCTCGCCCGGCGTGGATTCGAAGGTGTTTTTGTGTGGGCCGCCAGGAATGGTCAATGCATCGAAGAAGGCACTTGTTGATTTGGGTTTTGAACAGCCCGGGGCTTCGGCCAAGATGTCGGACCAGATTTTCGCGTTTTAGATAAGATAATCTTGTTTTCAGTTTCATGCAGTGTATTTTTATGGTTGCTGCGCTCTCAATATAGAAGAAACCTTTCGTTATCTCATCTTTTTCGTATCTCAATGGCGATCTATGGTCCACAATTCCAACGCTTCAAGCCCCACAACTTACCCAGTTGGCGAGTGGTGAATCGGTATGAATGCGCTACGGGGAAAGCCATTTCACTTTAACACGGAAGAGCCAATCATATGCCTCGCCTTGTGCATCAAAGCTTCAGGTCTGCTTGCTGTAATGGATTCAGATATCAACGGGTATGAGATCTTGTAGAATGATTGGGCTGAAATTATTCACTGTTTCATGATCGTCGCTCAATGGCGTCCTTGCTAGCATGCACTGGCGGGAGACCGGCTTTACGACAAGGCGATTACGTCCCGCAAGGAATTTTGTCTTGCTCGGACCTTGCTGTCAAGAATACGCCAAGCGGTTATAAAAAGGACGCTTGAATCCTCCAAGGGATCTGGAGTCTCCCAAGTCATTCCTTTCCACATCGGCTTGGCAATTGATCCTTCACACCAATTCTTTTAAGCTATCCGTTCCTTACTACAGCCGCCAAGATGCCTTTCACTGGGAGGTAAGCCATCGTCCCCTCGCCCCATCCTGTATCTATCCAGTATAAATGCAGCCTCTAACTACGTTAGCGACATTTGCAAGATTATCTGCGCGATCATCCTTCCTCCCGTCGGCGTATTCATGGAGAAGGGATGTGACGGTGACTTCTGGATGAATCTGTTTCTGACATGTCTATGTATGTTGTTTAAATCTACTAAACCATTACATACTGACCTGTATAGTCTTTGTTCCTGGCCTCATCCATGCCTTGTATATCATTCTGAAATATTAGGCGCTGTGACTTGCTTGGGGGCCATTGCTTTGGCAGGGACTGAGGGCGTATAATTACATTCATTTCAATAAACTAATAGAGGCATATCTGCTTCTTTGGAAGACAATTCAAGATTTGCGGTAATACAGGTCATCCAGGACATGGTAGCTCCTTATAGCATATCTAAAACTTGGGTTAATTATAAAACTCGAAGTTTCATTTTCCCTCCTCTGCAAATAGTCGTAGATTGCACCGATGACACTGGTGAAACTAACTAACAGCGCTATAACCGTGCTAGGTCCTTAGTATGATCTCTGCGTTCGAAATAGGCTAAGACTGCGTCTTACCGTGATTATGATTGGCTTTCACGTAAAAGTCGCCCTCGCGATGCCCGATCGCAAGTGAGGCAGAACATTTATCCTTCGGTTAGAAAAACTCACCTCACCCAGAAGCATCATTCTTCCTATAGGTTCCCTCGTGTTTATCGCCAACGGCTTTCTACGCGCAACAATGGCCATCCAAGGAATCGTGACTGCCAAGATCAAGCATAAGCGTGCATCTGCCCCCAAAAGTCGTAATGGCTGCATCACATGGTATGTTTGCCCATTCTCCCTTACCATCTAAGGCCAGTGGCTAACTCGAGGTGCCTGTCTGCAGCAAGTAAGTGGCGTCATGACTTTATCATGTTCGATTACTTATTTAAATAGGATCCGACACCTTAAATGTGACGAAGCGAAACCGATATGTAATCGCTGCTGCGAGGACAGGATTAAATGCAACGGCTACGCCATGCCTAAACCAAAAGCGCCCCGGCGAAATCTAGCAAAACTCAGGACTTACAATCACCGAAGCCGTTTAGCAACCTCGATGAGGCCTCCTCTGCATTGCGGCAGTTAGACGTAGCCTTTGACGAAAAGCCTTGGCACTACGAGGGAACCGATGATCCAGACACAGCCATTCTTGTGGTAGAAGCGACTAAAAAGCTCCAAGACGCTCTTGATCAATGGACCGCTCGTCTCGATTCTCTTTATGAGCTCAGAAAAGAAGACAATACAATTGAAGGCGAACAACAATACCGTAACCTCCGCCTGCGACAGAAATACTGGCAAATGTCGATCGATTCATACTCCTCGGATGAAGCGGCAGCAAGACCAGAGACATTTGAGCCATTTCTGGCGGCAGCCAAAGAAGCAGCAGCGCCTATCATAGCTCTCAAGCAACCGACATTTTCGCTCGATGGCGATCTAATCTCCGGTCTTGCTTTCGTCGCATCGACTACAGAAGATGATGAAACGAAAGTGCAAGCTCTTGATCTACTTTGGCGTTTGAATCGTCGGGAAGGTCTTTTGGATAGTCGCGATATTGTCGAGATGCATGAGCTTGCAAGGGCGCTTGAAACGTGCACGGAAGAGGTGGAGTTTGATGAGACTTGGAAGCCTACGGCGGCGGCTGGGATACCGACGATTATCGAGAGGTTGCGAAAGAGCCTGGGACAATTAGATATTAACTAAAGTAATAGTAGAAATGGCATATTCAGCAAGAATGAACGCTTTATATAGAAAGCTAATTAACGTTTTCCCAGATACTGGTGTGGACTTCAGTGCTATAACAAACCTCCTTTTGAGCAATTTCTCCTGTTTAACGTAATGCATGCTTGCTGTTTTGACTTTAGAAGAACCGGTAGCTACTTCAGGAATGAAAAAATAAATAAACAAAGAGCCAATAGGGACCTGTTTCTTTCTTATAGTGTCATTACAATACAATATCCAGTAATCCAAAGTCTTGTTCAAGGGATGTTCAGGGTAGTTTACTTGCTCATGTTAATGACGTCATGTGCTTGTAAAGAGATAGGTACGTACTACAAATGACAATCAGTCCTCTTGACCAAGTTCGGTCAGTAAGCGAGGCCCTCGATAAGGTTAAGGCCGCACGATGGAAGTGGTAAGAGAAGTCAGACACTGCATGCTAAGCTTTCTGATGGTGGGAATGTGCTGTTCTTCGAAGATTCTAAAGCCAGGGAAGCCCCATATTTAGATGTGCCGAGGAGTGGAACCTTGAGGCTCAAGACAAGGATGCTGTGGATCAGTTTCAGCGGTCAGATCTTGCTAGCGGAAGAAACGCGGAATTAATGCCATCGTTGCGTCATGACATGACGGAGCCGCACATAAAATTGCCATCTTGACTATTGCGTGTACAAGCAATTAACGACCTCGGCAGCTCCACGCTGTAGTCGGTGTCGCCTTTCGGGGCTCGAACTTGAGGCAATTTGAGCCTCATCATTGCGTCCTGTATCTTCTTCGTCATGCCGTCCCATCCGGTCCCGATCGGAGGTGTCACATACCGACAATCCGGATCGTGGGACCGGAAATCGCCTCAAGTGTTGGACTGCGTGGGAGATGGATTGTATACAAAACCACTTACAACTGCCTTTTGGTTGAGTCCCATACCGTTGGTACCTACTTCTTATCACATTCACAAACATTGATCTTTTCATACAATCTCTACCCCATTCCATATTTAACAGATATTGCTCAACGATACCACCATGGGTGCTTTCACTCTCCCTTCAACCGACGGTCGCATAGTCGCCGTACTTGGTGGAGGTGTCCTTGGCCGTCGCATCGCTTGCGGATGGGCTGCAAGCGGATTTGACGTTGTCATTCGTGACCCAAGCCCTGAACAAAGGGCTGCTGCATTGGAATACTGCAATACGAGCATGTCTCTGTACTCAGACTCAGAGACCCGAGGAACTGTCACAACGGTTGAAGATCTTGCCGAGGCTGTTGCCAACGCATGGCTCGTTATCGAAGCTGTCCCCGAGAAACTCCCTCTCAAGATCTCAACCTTTGCAGACTTGGAGAAACTCACATCCCATGACACCATCCTCTGCAGTAACTCGTCATCTTACAAGTCAAGAGAGATGATCGCGGGTCTGAAGGTGGAGACAAAACGACGCGTTTTGAACATGCACTATTACATGCCACCAGACTACCGTGTCGTCGAGCTCATGACCGACGGCGAGACCGACGAGAGCATCTTCCCATTCCTGTATCAGAAACTCGAGGAGATCAAGTTTCACCCCTACATCGCACAGAAAGAGTCCACCGGTTTCATCTACAACCGCCTCTGGGCTGCCATCAAGCGAGAAGTTTTGAACATTCTCGCCGAGGAAGTGTCTACTCCAGAGGAGATCGAGAAGCTCTGGAAGGAAATGTGGTATGCTAAGGAGAAGGGACCCGTTGCTATGATGGACGCCGTTGGTCTTGATACCGTGTCCTTCATTGAGCAGCACTATATTGCTGAGCGTGGCCTGCCTGATATGCCTGTCAAGTTTCTTCAGAAGTACATCGACGAAGGCAGGTTGGGAGCCAAGTCTGACAAGGGAGGGTTGCTCCCTCCAAGCAAACCTGTCGAGTCAAACCACGAAAGCTCGCTCTACTTCTTAGACATCGGGCTGTCAAGGGGGAACGCAAAAGAATGTGCTTCAGCTGGCCGCGTGTTGCTGGGTTCCAGCGATGGGAAGCCCATGAAGACACTTGTCTCAGGTCAGCGCATGCCCGATGGTATCGACATTTCGAAGTCCACCGGAAAGCTCTTCTGGACCTGCATGGGCAACCCTTCGGCCAACGACGGTGCCGTTCTCAGCTGCAATCTCAATGGTACAGATCTTGAGGAGATTGTCTCTCAAGGCCTGGTTCATACCCCAAAGCAGTTGACTGTCGATAACACCAACTCGAAACTGTACTTTGCTGATCGCGAGGGAATGCGGATCATGAGATGCAACTTCGATGGCTCTGAGCTCGAAGTCTTGGTCCAGGCTGGTGATTGGCAGGTCGATGAACATATGCTGGACCCTACACGATGGTGTGTTGGTATCACCGTCTCAGCTGATACTGGCAAGTTCTACTGGACGCAGAAGGGTCCGTCCAAGGGAGGAAAGGGTCGCATCCTTCAAGCCAACATCGCCTTCCAACCAGGCGAGGATGCAGCGAGCAGGACAGATATCGAGGTGTTATTCCAGGGCTTACCTGAACCTATTGACCTGGAGATCGATGAGGATGAGAAGGTCCTGTACTGGACGGACCGGGGTGAGTTACCAGATGGCAACACTATTAACCGCGCCCAGCTCAATGGAATCACCAAGGTGACTCACGATGGTGCAAGCAAGCCAGACACTGATTATGAGGTTGTCGCCCGAGGATTACATGAGGCTATCGGCATCAAGCTTGACTCAAAGAAACGTCGAATCTTTGCCACAGACTTGGGAGGCTCGGTGTACCAGTTTGATATGGATGGAGGTAACAGGAAGAAGGTGTATGAAGGGTCTGGGGCGTTTGTGGGTATCACTATGGCGTAGGTACTGCACGAGTCTATACTTTGACACCGCGGATTACTTCGAGGTAATGTTGCAGTATTTTAGGAATGTGACACGATATAATATTCTTCTATAGATCATAGACTTTAATATCTCGCTGTATATGCTCTAGTAGTCTATAAGTTCCCAAGTCGACTGCCAGTATCAACCGAGGTGAAGCTAACACTGTCCGGCAAGCCCTGTTTTACAGCCAGATAATACGTAGCACATCCATCACATCGTTCCCATCATGATTCCCTGCAACCGAGTTAAGCAGAGCCTTCCCCTCTCTACTCATCATCCTCGCAGGTGTTCGTATTTCGCCTAAAAACGCGTGATACCAATAGCCACATCTTGCCCGGAGGCTTATCCCCACTAGCCCTGCGAACAAGCCACCACTGAAGCGTCATGGCCGCCATCGCACTGTTCCACACGAACGCTACCATCATGCCCACTGAGAAAGATAGCGAAGTGGATATATGTCTTGTGCCGCAAAGACTCATAACTTGGAAGTCGTCGATTCCGTCGGGTAGGGCAAAGCCCGAAAGCATGAGAACAGCCTGGCAAATGAAGATGTCGGTGTAGTTGACCATCATGTGGACCCGGCGCCATCTCCGGCTTATTGAGATCTTTGGTCTGAGGTTGTTCTCGATGAGGTAGACTCCTACTGCCAATGTCGCCAGAACTGCTGTGACTAACCCAATAATCTGGAGGATTTATCATCAGTACTGTTGTGGCGAGACGAAATACCACTTACCCCATGTTCAGTTCGAAAATGGTCTGAAGACCCCATACCGGTTAGTCCGCATAGCAGGCCAATGGCCAGTAGAGGGAGGAAGAAGACGCAGAAAAGTATCTTTTGCCAACTCTCTATCCGAGCTTTAAACAAGGGTCGCTCGATGAGTTCCCCAAGAGCTATCAGTGTCGAAAAGATCAGGATTATAGGGTATACTATAAAGAAAGCGAGTGTCATAGCGGCCACTAGATGTCTCAGCAATGCCCAGACTGTAGAAGCTAAAAACTTACCGTGTATACTCGTGAGTATTATCAGCATAGATTCCGAAAGTGTATTGACGTGATAGCTGTTCTCGGGAAAGTCGATTAGGTAGGTGTTGCCTGAGCTTGTGATATTGATAGGGCACTTCGGGACCTGCATATCCGATCCACGAGTGGATGTGAGGTTTCTTTCCAGTTCTGTTCTTAGACCGGCGATGCCTCTGTTGAGCCAGCATGTCGAATGGCCTGTCAAGATGTCCAAGTTACTTTGCAAGAAGTCGGTAACATAAATCTGGTTCTGTCTTGTCCCAAAACAATATTGACGCCGCGATTCTTCATCTGATCGTGGTGCGTTGAAGCCTCGAGCTCTGGACAAGCTGTTGATGCTCACACCGGTCTCGCCATTGACATAGTCGAGATCGTGCGCGGCGACGCTGCTGACTTGGTCCGAGAGTAATATTGACACGGACCATGCCAGAAGAAACAGTTGCTGGTTGCGGACTATCATAATGAAAACATGTGTTGACGACGATCAAGAGAGTCAAACGGAAAAAAGGAGCAATAATGAGAAATATATCTAACATTGAAGCCAAGGGCTATGTAACCGCGCAAGGGGCTGATAACTTTGCTTACGTTGCGCATGAAGACACGCGTTTAAAGTTAGATTTGAAGCTTTGACGCTTTCCCGCGGGACGCCGAAGTAAAAGGTGGGCGTCGTGGGTTTGAAGCTAAACTTGAGGCTAGAAGATTGGTTGTGCAGGGGTCTGTAGTATATAAGTTGGCCACGCCCTGGCATCCGAAATGTCAGAGTCACGTCTGACAACATCACAGCTTAACAAGAAGGATGACTTCCACATAGTACGGTATCAATTGATGGCCCTCGTCTTACTGAGACTGTTTACATATTCTGGTGCACATTCGTACGTTTCAGAGCTACCTGATCGCTGCGCCCGAACATCCCCAACATAAGAGGCAAAGGTATCATGGCCATGGCCAACACAGCCTGAAAGACAGTAAAGTCCTTCATGTTGCGAGGCGGGTCAGCACTCTCAGCAGCCTTCATACCGTTACCGAGAATGATGAAACAACCTCCAAGTAACTGACCGCCAGCCCAGGCAGTAGTGCTAGTGATCTCGGCGCCCGCGGGATACGAGAACTCTGTCAGAACCTCCAAGACCACAGGAACGATAGAAAGTGACGAGATGCCGATGCAGCACAGAATAGCGTATAGTGCACCGATCTCTTTTGTGCTTGGAACCCATACCAGAGCCAGATAGCAGAGTCCGCCGACTACTACTCCGCATTTCGTTACGAGGATAAATTTCTTGGTTCGGTCGATTATGGGAGCTGTGATGGCAGAGAAGATGAGACCTAAAACGATGAGGAGACCGCCTCCAATACCGGCCTCGGTATCCGAGAAGCCGTAGGGCGTGACGATCTGGTTGATCAGGGACGTTGTGGCGACGAAGAGACCAGTGTAAACCCAGAAGGGAATTATAATCAGGTAACATTCCAACGATCGAATCAGTATGCGTAATGAGGGTAAGACCTTGGGCCGATTTGTATCGTCAATCGCGGAGGGGGGAGTTGCTGGCGCGCCTGGAACAAAGAAGCCAGCAATGGCCACGGCAGATGACTGTGATGATGAGCTTCTGGACGATGGTCTCGGAAGGAAGAGCGGAAGGTTGAGACATACAATGATGGCAACGTATAGAACCACAGAAGAAATATCACTAGGCTCATTCGTCCACAACGGAACGACGATGGATCCAACCGCAGCTCCAGTCGGATTTGCAAGACTCATAACAGCAGTCGCCGTCACACGCCCTTTACTCGTAAACCACGTTTCAGAAAAGCGCGTCGGGGCACTCAGCACAAGAGACTGCGACATGCCCAGCAGCGCTTGAGCGACAGCGACGACTGCAACTTTATTACCGTCGGAGGAGTAAGACCCAGCATAACGGATCCAGTTGCCGATTAGCAGAAGCGCACTGCCGCTGATGAGGGTCGGACGAAGGCCCCAGTCGAGGAGCTTGATGGTGACGAGGGTCATGGCGAAGTTTGCAAAGACGAAGATGGTGCTTAGCCAGTTCACCATTGTTTCGTCTACTTTGTAGAACTTGGCAGTTGATGAAGTGACGGGTGAAAAGGTGAGCCACTGGAGGTATCGTCAGTATGCCGTGTTCTGTTTGACCAAGGCCAATTGTGTTAGGGAGAACAAAATCGCTCATGTGCAGGTTGTTCTGCTGTAATGGTAACAAGAACGACATACCGACCAGCTAACCATGATGTTCAGTAGTGTCAACACCACAAGCCCGAACCAACGGATCTTGTACGTTCTATACGGCTGCTCGATACTACCGCGCCTGACCGAAGAGGTCGAGTCGTCGGGGGCAAAGACTGTCGGCGAGTCAGGGTTTTTCTTGTCCACATCACCTGTAGACTGAGTAGCTGGAGCTGTCTCAAACACGGAAATGCGAGATGTCGATGCCATTCTGATTACTGGGTTGCTGTTTGTCTATTTGGTGAAGGTTCAACAAAATGTTACGAGTTTAAATGAAAGGCTCTATCTCTATCTATTCTCTTACATATGCAAACGCGTATCATTGTGATACACGAGTCAAGCAGAGATCTCCAAGGCTAGTTACCCCGCAAATGCAGATTTATTTTATCTTAACGCCGAGATTGACAATCAGTCCAAACTTGTTTATCACTGAACGGGCCCGCGGGTCGCGAGGTGCGGGTTGCGCGGGCCGCCTCTTCTCCCCGCCTCATTTTCTCAACATTAAGCCGATTGCGCATTGCATTGATCGGCCACGATGATTCCCCCGGACACTCCGCTCGTATTGGGTTTCACATTGTATTCTACACCGACTCCATCGCAGTCAAGCATCAAAAGTTTACGCATCATCACCCAGTGAGTGGAAATGGCCGAGGAACATTCCCCAGAGTCAGTTGGTCGAGTGGTAAGACCTCATACCCATGCTGTATAGTCAATGTCGAGATGTACCGTCTAATACTGGCTTTCATGTTGGCGTAGTGCGACCGATGTCGTCTTCGAAAGGTAGGCTGTGGCCTTATCTACGTTTGTACAGTGACTAAAATTGAAGCGATAATAAGATTCGATGCGATAGGTTATTCCCGTGTTCCAATTGCCGCACAGTCCAAAAAGCCTGTAGCTTGGTCGGATCCACGCAAGGGATACGGCAATCTAAACAAAGAGTCCTCATCTCCTCACAGTAGTAAGTCTCTCTACCAAACGCCTGCCAACCAGAACATAGCGTAGGTTGATTAACTTTATTAAACACCAGCGAACAAAAGATAGATCGGATAGAGAACCGTCTCGAAGGTATCGAACAGCTCTTGCGTAGGGCTTTCGATGAAGAACCCAGCAGCAGAAGTGTTCCAAGACCTCCCGCGTCGTTACCCACAGACTCAATCAATGTCTCTCAAGACTTTGGAGACAGCATCATCAATGGACCGAGCCATGTTGAGTCAGAGATGGCCTTGGAGGGCAGCAGCTCCATGAAGGCTGCTACAGTATACGCAAGCGACTTTTTCCAAACTGTGCTTGGACAATCGCCTGCCGCGGATACAAACGCGCGCGTGAAAGCTGCTTTGTCGTCGCTGAAACAGATGATTGAGATCAATAGCTACCGCTACATGGCGGATCGGGTGCCGCCGAGTCGAAGAGAGACTCAGAATGATGGATTACGAGACCTGGCAATGCCGCCTCTGCAGTCGGTTCTCCCAATTCTCCGAGAATTGAAAGGTACACTTTATCCTCAAGCCAGTTTCTCATGGCGTCCAAGTCTGACATGTCAGCAGAAACAAAATTGGCTACGCTGACCGTAGTCACTCTCTTCATCTCCAAAGACAGACTCATCGACTGTTGCCGAGAGGTATACTTCGCAGTCGACAATTTCTCACTTCCGACATTCTTGATCGCAAACGCGACGCTCCGTTACTTGTTCCAGGAAAAGGCCCAAGCGACACAGGTTCCTTTAGCTCGTGAGGAGTATCGTAAATTGTCTCAACTATGTCGAGATAATCTCGAGTCGGCCATGAACAAGTTCAGCGTTGTCGCGCCACCTAGCCTAGAGAACGTAGAGGCTTTCCTCTTAGTAGTAAGTCTGCACATGCTACTACACAACTTGGAGAGTGATGCTAAGGCTATCCAACTAGGCCATCTATGCCATAGAGGTGTCGCAGCCAATGCTTGCCTGGCAGCTCGTATCTGGTGCGGGAGGGATTTGCCAGACTCTTGGCTGGCACCAACTCGTCCCAAACAGCGACAGCACCACTGATCGGAAAACATCTCTCTTCTGGCTGACTTACCTCCTTGATAAAGGACTCTCCTTGCGACTCGGTCGGCCGGCTGTCATACACGATGACGAGATTACGCTGCCGGAAAGATTTGACAAGGCAGATGTGCCAGGCGGATGGAGGGATCTTTTGACCCAATGGATTCGCCATTCTAGACTTGTTGGTAGGGCGTACCAAGATCTATATAGTCCATCGGCCCTGCGGAAGTCACCACAGGAGCGTGGAGAGCGTGCAATGACCTTGGTGGCGGCCCTCAAACGGATCATGGATGACTCGTTGATGCCGCTTGGACAGGCACATCTGATGAAACGCAACACAGGAAGCTTTGGATCGGCGCCTAATAGAATGATCAAGACGGTTCTTAAGGCTGATGAGGTATGGTATTGGACGACCCTGACATTTATACGCAGGGCTATTACGTCACATGAGGGTGGACATGGAGCTGTTAGCCCTGCGTGTCTGGAATCAGCTAGAATGGCTTTTGAAGCACATGGAGAGTGCATGAGGATGACTGACCCTAGCTCAGAGACAAAGGCTCTATATCTGCTATGGTACTGTTGCCTGGCCCCCTATTCTCGTCTTGTATTGAAAGACTGCTAACCGGTGCTTTGTATGCAGGACAATTATTTACACACCGTTTGTACCGCTGATCGTGGTGTTCTGTAATGTCATCGAAACCTCCAACCCAGGAGACATTCGTATACTGGGAGAGTTCTGCGAATCACTCAAGCCACTATGCGATATTTTCGAGGCTATCCAGGAGCTACACGACCTTTGTCAGGTTCTGTATAATCTGGCCATCTCATACGTTGAAGCGAAAAGGCAAAGCCAAGGGGGACTTGATAAAATGGTCGAGGATGGGTTCGACACTCAAACGAATGGCATGCAAGGGGCGGCTTCGTTCAGTAGTAACTACTTCGATACCTTCTCTGTGGGATCGGGCATTCCGGTACCTCAGCTGAATGATCATGTTGCGCAGGTTCGGGACTGGATTTCGGGGAACATGCATTGGATGGATGTCTCGCAAGAGGACTTCTCAGAGTTCTTGGCACAGTTATAATAGTGAAGGCGCAGGAGAAAACAGGATTCTGTCTTGTACGAATTCTCTTTGGTCTGGAAGTGCTCACATTAAGTCTATGGAGATTACTACCGCCCATAAGGTTAAGCCTTAGATTGCGAACACAGGTGATGAATGAGAGCACGATATTCTCAGAGGCAGCGGAATTTGGTCCTCGCCGTCTGAGACGTGGGAAGACTTTTATCGAAGGGTGTTGGGATGTAGGCTGGAACATTGGAAGTGACCCCAGTTCCCGGGCTCCGTAGATGATAAACTTCACTATGATATCCCAAGTTGAACATGCGATTGCTCTAGTTTTAAGTGTGACGGGTTATGAAATGCATAATGTATCTAAAAAGAGATAGCCAGCGAGTGAAGAGGATGGAGAAACATCTGAGATATAAAATAGCCACAACACCAACGTCGCATGTAGGTAGCACTAATCTAGTAGATATACCCGGATCCATCCAAGCCCTTCATCGGCAGCAGACCTCCTGTTGGTCCCCATTGCTAACACCATTGGCGGGGACCAGGACACTCTTGTTGACAGCCTGAGTGCTAGGGGGCACGTCAAGAGCAGGATTGCGATCAAAGAAGTCAGCCGGCTTCAGCGAAACAGTAATAGCCTCCGCAGGCATAACTGGGTAGTCCTCCACCCTTGGATTATGCGTGAGACCATACGTCGCCCACACGACCAGATCTTCGCCTCGAACATTATCATTCCGCGCCGCGTAATCCGCCACACCGTCCTTCTCAATCATACTCTGGTTAGTCCACTTTCCTCCGGCCCAGAGGTCATCATCCTTGTACCGCGTCACCCACATATGATGCTCTGCGAAGCGAGCGCGTTTGCGGACGAGGGAGGCTTGATCGGCCATGAGGAGCTGTGCTGGTGGGGCTATAACCTTGTAACCGACTGGGTTCTTGGAGATGGGGTTGAGCTTCTTCTCGTTGACGATCTTGAACACTCGAGCCTTCTGTGGGTCGAAATCCAAGGCGCAGCTCTTTTCGACAAAGGTCTTGTGCAGCTTCCAAGCATTGCCGTAGGGATTCTCCTCGGACATGGGCAAACCGATGGAGTCTTCCTGTACGAGAGTATTCTCAAGACCATCGATCATAGGGTCGATACGCAGACTGAAGAGATGCTGGTGGTTGGCGGCTAGAACACCTAGAGACACGACGTTACCCCAATGGCTAGTCTTCCCCTCGTCGATGAGACTGGTGGCGAGAATTCCAGTGGCTCTTGTCTCGAACTCGATGGTTCCGTTTTGCCAGAAGTGCCAGGAGAATGCGTATTCGTAGTTTCCGACGGTGATGATGCTCTGAACCACGAGAGTTCGGGCTCGGGTAACGGCGGCAACATCAGTTCGGGCATTGGTGTGCTTCCATCCAATACCAGCGTCCTGATCCAATAGTTAGCAGGGTACTTTTTTCGCAGTGGGACAATGACATACCTGTTCGTGCAGACAGATCACGTTGGGAGCTTGGTAAGGCTGTCCGTCGGAAGCGGTGAGCAAAGCATCGAAGTAACTGATATGCCCCAGGCAATCACAACCGAGCTTCAGGTTATTTGCTGTCAAACCCGCTCCAGCATCGCCGAGATCAAAAGCTTGTCGACGATGGTAGGGATATCTGGGGTCTGTACAAGAAGGATTAGTCAAAGTTCAGTCTTTTGCGGGTTGCTCTTACCTCCATATGGTACAGTCATCTCGCTCATGCTCAAACGATAAAACGTCTTTCGTCCATCATACCTGACATCATGAATAGTCATGCCCTCTCGCCAATTGAAGCCAATGCGGAACCGCCACTTCTGCCAAGAGATGGAGTTTCCATCTTGCACGGTGTAACTAGGTCCTTCAGGCTGCTGAACGATAAGAGGCTTGAGGCCTTCTCGCAGCGGAACGCTCAGAAGATCAGGGTGATATTCATTCTCAACGCAGTGAGCAAGAGGGGCCTCTGGTGCGGTATGAATGGCCGCTCCGTCCTCCTTGCCACCCGTTGGCAGAGCGTCAATCCGAATGAGTTTCAGATCGACAGAGTCAATGACGGGGGAAATGGGAAGTGGGTAAGAGTACATGTTACTCTCCAGGTGATTGTGCGGGGCTCTAGCGTACAGCATGGCCTGGACCAGTCTCGGGGTCTCCAGGGAAGAGTCCTTGTCTGCTCCGAATGGCCAAGTGTCGCATTGGACTGTCACGTTGGGGTCCAGACCTAATTTCTTGATGGCCTCCAGGACCTCGGGGTGAGATAGAATGGCATAGTTGAAAGCAATGACCTCGTCCCTGTTGAATCAGTGTCAGCTATCTTCCCATGCATTGTAGCAAGTGATACGAACCTGTCGAAGCCGGCATGATCACCAGGCTTGGATAAAGTCGACTTGACCTCCGTTCCTGTGTCCAGACTGACAATGCTTTCGGTGAAACCTGGCTTGCCAGGGAAGGTATAGAGGACTTCGGCACATCTAGGTACGAAAGGGCGGGCAGGGATAGGAACACCGTTGCTCTCAGCATCCAAATATGGAAGTAGAAGTGACTTGGGGGGTTCGGAAAGTGTCGTGTGCTTGAACCTGACCTCCTCCCTTCCCTCAAACTTCTCCTTGACGAGCCCTCTCACTATGTCTGCAGCTTTGAGCATCTCCTCCTCGCTCAAGGCGTGGAGGGGATGGGTGCGATGGCCTTGAACAGTCATGTTGTCTCTGTTATTCGTATTAAAAGTGTTGAAGCGCTGTGCCTTGACAATTGAAACTGTTCATGACGCTGTATTTATCTTATGAATTTTGTAACATCTCGCATTCAACCTTTGCTTCGGAGTCTTACCCGTAGGCTACCTAGCTTCTGTATCACCTGAACACATCGTAAGTAGCACAGAGTAGCTGCCCGCAAGCTATCATCTCCCGCGGACACCGGTTGGAAGATACTCGACGATTGCGGCCCGCGGCGTAGATAATCGTGTTCCATCCACTGTTCACTGCTTCGTATCTTCTGAAACCCGTTCGCTGTGCGGCCCGCGGGGCGATGCATATCGTATCGCGCCTTATCTACGCCCAATAAAGTCTCTTACTTACTGCGGCTAGCGGTGCGACTACCCCGCAGTCGACTGGCCTAGTAACGCCCGCGCGAGGGTCATTTGCCTGAATCATGATACAGTTGTTACTGATCTGCCGAGGCACCGTTTCAACGTGTTGTAACGACGCCTCTGTAAATGCAATGTTCTTTGTTTCTATGCAGGGTCTAACCGTTGATGTCTCTTTTGGTGTATCGTGCGTGTTTTTTGCTAGACCAGAACTGCCAAAGCAGCTGGCAAGTCCCATGATTATACCACAGTTTGACGTTCGAATGGTAAGGGCTGGGTCTTGATTTGCGGTCGAAGGCCTTGAAACTAGGATGATCGAGTTCTCGGTAGCGAAACAAATATAATTGCAGTTTAACTATTTGCATTGCTAGAATAAGGGTTCTGGAACAAACTCGTAGAAAGCCAAATAATAACAATTCCATCTCATCTACCCTAAATATCAATATCCAAAATAGCTCGTAGACACTTAATTGATGAATCCCTTGATCCTCATCTCAATCTCCGTCCAGCGCCAGAGCTCCTCCGCCATCTTCGCATCCTGCGCAGCTGCACTAGTCTTGCCAATGATACCGACAGGCTTCAAATACTCTCCGCTCATATCCCGTTGAAAATCTGGGCTCGCGATTGCAAATAGAGACGTATACGCCGCAGTCTCAAGTGGACTGTAGAGTCTGAACAGGCGCATCACAGGGATAAGTAATTGCCAAGCCCACGAACCGGTGGCTTTAGTGCCTAGACCACTTGGGCATTTCGTCAGGACATGTCATAGAATACGCTATGGATACACAGACTCACGTGTCAATTGTGCCGGGATGCAGACTGGCGGTCCAAATCTCTTCCTTTCCGTCATTGTCAGATGATGGACCGTATCTGCGATGTAGTTCTTTGGCATGCAGGATGTTGGCTAGTTTCGACATTCCGTATCGCGAAAATGCGCTGCCGTTGGTTTGGTTTATATCGTTGAAATCGATACCTACCGAGGGAGCAAACACGAGATGGCCGTCGGAGCTGACATTGACGATTCGGACGGTACCAGGGCTGGTCAATCGCGCAGTCTCGGTGATAATAGGTAACAGAGTGTAGGTGAGGAGCCAGTGAGAGAGGTAGTTTGTCTGAATGGCCTTTTAGTTCCGGATCATGGCGTTTCTGATATCATACTGACCTGAAATTGAGCTTCGTACTGATCCACGGATTCCTCGTATGGTGTTGCCATTATACCCGCGTTATTCACCAGACCGTGGAGCCTTGATTCTTTTCTAAGCAAGTTATCAATAAACCTCAACCATGATCGCGATGGGCCAAATTCGATGGGAGTACTTACCGTGCAAACTCCTCAGCCGCGGCCTTGACAGTCTTCAAATTCATCATGTCCATGACCAAGACGGATATATCTGCGTCAGGATTTTGACTTTTGATCTCAGCGATTGCAGCGTTGGCTTTGGCCTCGGATCGTGCGCCCATGTACACCTTTGCCTTGTGAGCTGCCAATTCCACTACGGTGTTGAAACCACTTGTTCATTTGTTAGCCAATTCTCACTTCTACAGCTTGAACATGGCGGGATTCATAGTCAACATACATTCCGGCATTGCCGCCAGTTACAATGTAGACTTGCCCCGATAGATCAGGGAGTGATTGTGGTGTAAACGCCATTGCAATTGTAAGTCGGTGCTAGGATATGGCTTTGTGTTGTTGCGGTGGAGATTTGTACAGTGAGAAGCTGCTAGTTCTTTAATATTGAGAACATGAGTCGGCTCGGGCCCGCGGATTCCATATTTTCCCTTAGCTAAATATGGACAAGATGTGCATAACCCCAGGAACCATCTACAAATAGCAACTTCAAAGGCACTACATGAATTGACATTAAAATGGTATTTCATAGCTAGTTCGTGACTGTTATCAACGATCAGAAGTAAAATTAAGGAAATGGGGATATTATAGAGTGGTACTACTTTTTGATTTTCAAGTATCTTTTAATTATTTCAATTCCCCGTTTCATAGCTGCAATGTTGACATGTGTAAAATAGCATATAACATTCGCTACATACCTAGACGCGAACTAATATCTTGACCTGGGTGTCCTTGTGGTTAATCAGTGCTTTCAAGCCCTTTTCCTCAATGTCCTCCATCTCGATCAAACTAGTAATCATTGGCTCCGGTTTGAGATCACCTATCCTCGTCAGCAATCTAGCACCCAACAGTCACGATTGAAAAGCCTTACCGCGTGCAAGAGCGTCGATAACCTCCTGGAATACCGATGCAGTATAGGTCGCCGCGCCTTTGAATGTTCTCTCATTCAGCATGAAATAGTTGGGCGAGATGGTCACCTCGGTAGACCAGATGGCGACATTTACGATGACGGCTCGGGGTCTGGACGCCGCGAGTGCAGTTTCCAGAGTGCTCTGCATGCCTGCGCAGTCAAAGACGACTTGAACGCCTTCTCCCCCGCAGAGCTTCTTGCACTCTTCACCTACATTCGTCTTCGTGGGGTCCAAAACAGTGGTGGCGCCGAACTTGGTTGCGAATTCTCTTCGTTTGTCTGCAGTCTCGGTGACAATGATCTGGCTTGCGCCTTTGCTCTTCAGAACTTGGAGAATGGCTAGGCCAATTGGGCCAGCACCGAGGATGAGAGCCGTGTCGCCAGGCTTAAAGTCGCTCTGCTGCACAGCATTCCAAGATACCGCTAAAGGTTCGATAAGGGCTTGTACGGTTAGTGGAGTGTCGTGAGACTAAAGGGTAGGTCTGCATACCAGCAACCTGTAAAGGTATATTATCGGGAATCTTGAAGACAGAATATCGCGGCACCGTTGTGTAGGTGGCCAGCCCCCCTCCAATGCCTGTTACAAGGTTAGTCACAGAACCATCTTGTAAGTCTGTGTGAAATTATATACCACTCAGCCCGATGAAGCCGGAATTGGTGCAGCAATTGATCAGACCCCTCTGACAAGAACCGCATGTTCCGTCAAAGATGATGGGCTGTACAACTACTCTGTCTCCAGGTTTTAGGTCATCAACCTCGTTACCGACGTCGGAAACAACACCACTGTACTCATGGCCGATAATGACCGGGGCACATTTGCCAGTCACAGGGTGGGGTGTTGTTGGAATCAGCAGAGCACCCTCAAGATATTCATGTAGATCTATATCTGCATGTGAGTAACCACATTGAACAGTGGTGTTGGTATGTACCTGTTCCACAGATTCCCACAAAAGCCGGCTTCAGCTGTGTTTTGAAGTCAATATCGTCATATTCGCGGCATTCCTTTGGAGTTGGGGACTGACCTGAACATCTTTAGGACCAGGCTTTGGGACATTGACTTTCTCGATTCTGATGTCCCCCTTGCCGTGGTACACGACTGCCTGCATGGTATCTGCCATATTGTAATTTCTTTTATTTCCCAAACAAGACTTCTAGAGGTTGTATTCAGAAGTAAACTTATCAAGGTCGGTCTAGCCTGCAACCGAGCTGGAGCCTGCAGCAACACAATATATGACTCTTCTGATCATAGCAAGGCGTCAATTGCCGCTTGCAAAGACCCAACTGCCTTATTTCCCCATGGGGCTGTACGAATGCGGGGGTTTAGCTGTTTGGCCTCACGGCTCACCGATCTCATAATTTGTCGCCCCGCGGCGCGACACACCCGCGGAGCACCGAATTCCCTAGATCGACAAACTTTGGGTCTAGAACATGTGGTTGGCCACAGTCAGGTGGGGCCTCAAAGCATGATGCAGTGCCGAGACTACGAGTCCCGGGCCATTGTAGCGGATTCTAGCCGAGTGGTCAGGCACTATCGCTAGCTTCACGCAAGTATCAGTATTCACATATATCACCATGTACAGTAAAAAATCAAGACATCACGTCACTCAACTATCGGTTTCAATCAACTGCCAGAACTCTCTACAACCATCCTTCTACCTTCAAGATGTCTACCCAAGCGCACTCTAAGCCTCGGAAACTGAGGATTATTCACGTCGGCGCTGGAGCTTCCGGTCTCATGACCGCTTACAAGGCTGAGCGCATGCTTCAGAACTATGAGCTTGTCCTCTATGATAAGTGAGTTGAGACTTTTTTATAACGCTTAGAGGCAGGTTCTGACATGCTCTGTCCAGAAACCCAGTCATAGGCGGGACGTGGTATGAGAACCGCTACCCAGGTAATACAAGAACTCTTCTCTCCCTAAAGTCTGCTGAAGGTTAACATTCCAGGGTGTGCTTGTGACGTACCTGCGCACATTTATACGTATTCGTTTGAACCCAACGCTGAATGGTCTCGCTACTATGCGAACTCTGCAGAGATTTATGACTATTTCCTCAGATTTGCAAAGAAGTATGATCTCGAGAAATATGCTCAGCTGCGAACCACAGTCATCAGCGCGACATGGGATGAGGCCGACGGGAAATGTAAGTTATTGCACTAATGTTGCTAGGTTTGAGATACTAAGATTCTCCGGCAGGGGCTGTCAAGTTGAGCCAGGATGGCAAGGAAAGAATGGACTACTGCGACGTATTGATGAATGGATCGGGAGTCGTTAACAAGATGAAATGTGAGTGCATCTTGATCCAACGCGAGCTGCCATGTCGATTCTCACAGCCTCTCAGGGCCCGATGTTCCGGGCCGATCCTCCTACAACGGCACCATAGCTCACAGCGCGACCTGGGACCCCAAGATCACTTGGGAAGGCAAACGGGTTGCACTCATCGGAACAGGCTCAAGCTCTGTTCAGATGCTACCAGAACTTGCAAAAGGTCAGTTCATTGAAACTGCGGCTTTGTTCAATACTAAAGTGGACCCGTTTTAGGATCAAAGAGCGTTCACGTCTTTGCCAGAAACTCCGTATGGATCGTCCCTTCACTGGGTACAGATCTCAGCAAGGCCAACCAAGAGGGCCAAAACTCTTCTGAGCAACCAAGCACGCAGATTTATTCCGAAAAGGATAAGGATGAGTTTCGAAAAGACCCTGCTGCACATCTACAGTACCGAAAAGGTCTTGAGGCAACCCTGACACGTAACTTTCCATTCTTTCTCAGGGATTCTCCAATGAGTCAGTGGGCTACTGCTGCTATCAAGCAGGATATGCTCAAGAAGCTTGAGAGTGCTGATGAGGAGCTAAAACAAAAGCTCATTCCGTCGTGGCCTCCGGGATGTCGGCGGATTACAGTAAGTGAATCCAGATCTTTAGTTGAATCTCCCGTTGACATGAACTTCGCAGCCTGGTAACGATTATCTAGAGAGTTTGGTCCAGAACCGTAAGTTATACTGCATCACTAGCTGCTATGACTGACCCTCGCCAGATGTAAAGGTTGTCTTTGAGGGCGTTGCAAGATTCACTCCCACTGGACTGGTCTCGAGCGATGGGAAGGAGTTTGATTTTGACCTGATTGCCTGCGCTACAGGGTTTGACATCTCATATACTCCGCATTTGTAAGCGTATTCGCCTCTGGGCTCTAAAAAGTGGATTACAGGAACACCGCTGATTTGAGTGTTGTAGCAAAATCACCGGCATCGGTGGAGTTACGATGAAGGATGAATGGTCCGAGGTACGTTAAATATGTACTCTTATTTTTCGGAACCTGTTCAATTGACTTGCCCGGCGTTACCAGAATCCAAACATCTATCTCGGCATCACTGGGCCCAAGTTTCCCAACTATTTCGTCATTAATGGGCCAACTGGAAATTGGGGTCAGGGTTGCGTACTTCCCTCGGTATGTAAAGATCCAGCTCGCGTTTAGGAAGTCCTATATCTAACATCTTTCCCAAAAATCAGCACGAGGTCCAAATAGAGTATGCCATGCAATGCTGCATCAAAATGCAGAACGAGGGCATCAAGGCCATGGAGGTGAAGGAACTTCCCACCACGCAGTGGAACGAGCATCTTGACAACTGGCACACCAAGTACTCTGTCTGGGCCGGCGACTGTCGCTCTTGGTACAAGGCGAACAGGACGGACGGACGGGTGTATATCTGGCCTGGCAGCATGCTTCATCTGCTCAAGACTATGAAGACGCCTAGGTTCGAGGACTTCAACATTACCTATAGAAGCGATAACATATGGGACTTTCTTGGGAATGGCCGCACTCAGATTGAAGAGCTGGCTGAGGAGGGGTTTGATGTTGACCTTGCTCCGTTTATCCGAGACCACGATGTTCCCTGGTCGATTGATGATCATCATACCCTCGTAGGAGCTGCAGGTCGTAAGCATAAGCTTTGAGCGTCATGACGCGTGGATTTGGTATTGGTCCAGATATTGGTTATTTCAAGGTTGTATTAGAAGGCTTCAAAGTTACTTGGAGCTAAACATCCAATATCAAGCTTTGTCCAACTCTATCGAGGCCGTCTTGATTACTTCACCAATATCGTAATCCCAAATCGTAGGTAGCGTCTCCTTCAACTCCTCAAATATCCGACCAAAATCACTACCAAGCTCAGTTTGACGTTCAAATAGTTGACCAGCTCGTCTGGACTTCTCAACGACCCATTGACATCTTTCCCGTCTACTTATGTCAAAGGCAGAGAACGCAGCTTCAATATCGAATCCTACTCGGACTCTGTCATGCGCCAGTATAGATGCCAAGACAGCAGCATCTTCGATACATAATCCTGCTCCCGCACCATGATGTGGCGATGAAGCATGTGCTGCGTCCCCAATGATACATACTCGGCCTTTGGCAAAAGTCGGAACTGGATTGTCTCCTAGATCAAAGATGGCCCACTGTCCAATATCAGTAAACACGTCAGTCGTCTTGAAGCAAAGTAGATGTGTACTCACACGGTCAAGCCTCTCAGTATTGTCGAGTATTTTCAGCACAGACGGTCGGAAGCCTTCGAAATCATGGAGAAGATCCTCTTTCGTGACCGGGAGAACAAGCTGTCTTTCACTTGGCCAGTCGTCGGAGCTTGAACAATATGCCACAACATTTAGCATTGTCCCGTGTGCAACTGGATAGCTTAACAAATGCTTGTCCTTCTCAGCTAGTCGTTTCGCAAGTGAAATCAGACTTTGGTCCATGCTTAAGAGGTAGACTGCACAGGACGACTTACCCACATGGTAGCATTGAGAGCTCTCTCCTCACCCAACACCTCAATTGCTTGTGGCATGGGTATCATTCCTCTGTAAGCATATTTGTGCGTGTATGAGCACTTCGATGATGGATGGTCCGCCCCAACTAGTATATCGCGAAGTTTGGATTTGATGCCGTCACAGCCAACAACAGCATCGGCCGCTTCACTCGAGCCATCCTGGAAGATAAGGCGGATCCCACCACTGTTGCCTTCCTCTATTATCTGAAGTTCTTTGTTAAACTGCACCACATCGCTGGGTAAGAGCTTGATAAGTTCATTTGCAAAGGCGCCCCGGTGGCAACCCTGAAGTCCAGTACGATTCTCGACATGGAACAGAGGGGAGTCGGTGGTCGCTGTCTCCACGCCGTCGAGAAACTCGAACAAGAACTTTTTCTTGGACTCCCAGGTGTTGCCGTTGGCGACCTTTTTAAATGCATTATGCACGCTTGGATCGCAAGCTTTCATGGCATCTTGTGCATTGGGACTTATTCCCAGCCCGGCACCAATGTCGCTAAAAGCATGCGCTCTCTCGTAAATTTTGCAGGGAATGTTTCTTTTGAGAAGCGAGATCGCGAGGACAATTCCTGCGATACCGCCGCCAATGATAGCGATCTGGAAGTCTTTCTGATGTTTGCTCATGATTAAATATGGTATTTATGAGAGGAGACAAATCTCAACCAGTAGTAGACTTCTGTGGTCTTTATATTTCATCATACCAACGTATGCCAAAACCGGTAGTTGTATGCGCATACAGATCACCCTCAGCCTCAAACGTACTGCGGTTGGTCAGGACCATTACTCATCCGGACTCGACGTTGCTTTGACTTCCATGTTTCATGTGCTAGTTGCAAGCTACTGCCTTGCCGTGAGTTCCGAGTTTAGTAGCGGGCGCAACCCCGTTACATTGGATCTGTGGGAAACAGCCCCGGAATCGAATTCCGTCTAATTCCGACTAAGTCATATAACTTCAGGCAGAAGCATTATTACATGTCTAGCATCTAAGTTAGGAGCCTAAAGCATAATCTTCTCGTAAGCAATCATTTAAGTGCTAGGGTAATGCATTAAATAGCGATTGGAGGTTACGGACCTGGCCTTCTGCCCGGTGCCGCTCTGACCCGGGGCACCAACGGAGTCCGAACTCGTACAGTACGGCAGCTCCACAATGCAGATCACTCTCTGATGTAAATTGGGTGGAAATATGAGTGCCGTGATGCCATTTGTTGAGTTTGAAGTTTCCCGCGTATTCAACAAAAGCTATCGCATCCCTCGGCATTTTCCATCCGCTTGTACAGACTTATCGGAAAGCGAGGCGTAAGTCTCGTGAATATTGCTACCCAATACACGTTGATCCAAAATCTTACATCTTTATAGTAAAAGTTTCATAACGTGTCTATCGGGATTTATTTCAGGCAGGAGACGGTATAATCCTTTCAATCGCTCCCATAACTCTTCTGAACCCACCTGGCGGAGCGCTATGCGGAGACGGCCCGGCATAAGCTTCGAAGTCTGTGGACACGACGCACCGGTATTCTTGTGGGTCACATTCATGCCGAGCATCAAGCAATTTGCCAATGACTATTGCGCAACAGTCCGGAAGAGCAAAGCTACTGCGTTTCGAATATCGAAGAACCTATTCTAACCTTGTAGATAAGTATTTAGAACCTTCACTCCTTCTTCCCACTCGCCGGATTGAATCAGATTTATCTCACTCCAAAAACCATGTTCCGCCGCCTCAAGCTCCGTGTATCGCAACTTGGCCTTGGGATTGAGCTCTCGCAGCTTGGCAACAAACTTCCTACTCCCCTCGATCGGGACTTCACTATCATCGTTGCCATGATGCAACCAGATGAAAGGAAGCTCCAGCGCCAACTGAGGCTTGTCTTCCAGACATTCTATTGGAAACAGACTTCGCTGGTCGCCGAAGAAGCTGGTGTATGTACCGTGCTGCACCATTGCGATTGGGAGATTTGAGATCGCTCTGGTTGATGGTTGAGGACCGTCAGGAAGCTGTTTGAGATGCTGAGACACGAGTTCGTAATCGATTTGTGGATATTGGCCCATTTTCTTATGGTAGGCTTTGCAGAAATGGTCGCTTCGCATGTCGATCATAGGGTAACTGGCGATGACTGCTCTGAATGCAGCTGGATGGCGCAATGCTAGTTGTATTGCAAGGTAGCCACCTGGAATCAGATCATTGTCAGCGTTTTATCTCTCGCCCAAACGAAGAGGGTTCACTCGCCCGCACTCTCGCCCGCTAGCAGAACCCTCCCCAGGTCTGCTCGGCTCTTCCCATTTGTGACGGATCCAATGGCCTCGTCCAAGCTGCTCTGAACCCAGGACCAGACGCCTTCGATGTCTTTAAGTATCTCAATTCCATTGCTCTCTGGGATTAATCTGTAGTCACAAGACACCAGAATTGTGCTATTCTCAAGAGCATACTCAAGAATTCTCGGGGGTGTAAGTTGTAAATTGTCACGGCTGCCGTAGACGAGGAAGCCGCCGTGAAATCGAATAAGGACTGGGCGTTCACCAGGTGGCAAGGCCTTTGGGACAAGTAGATCGAGAAGAATGGGTTGCCCCTCAATCACCTTGTAGGTAAACGTGGAGACGTTAAACTCGTCAATGCGCAAGACGGGGTCGGATGCCATTGCTGTTGCTTTTTTCCTGTGGCGATGATGATTGCTCCAAGCTCAACCCCGTTTTCTCAATGTAACATATCTTTCAGTGTGTCGGCTGCTTAAGTGTCGCAGAAAGAAAAATAATCACATGGCTTCAGTGTTGGTATGGCGGGCCGCGGGCCCCAAACTTCGGCTTGTCTTGGAGATCGGGCACCTGCGCACTATACATCATTGGTGAAGCACTTGGTGCAATGAGTGCGATAGTATCCGTACAAGCCGACAAGTACCGGGTAGCTCGCTCCGAAATCCGGGCTCCCGCGGCGTCCGTGGGTCTATTTTCTCAACCTGCTTGAGGCGCAATTGTTCCTTGTCAACAAAACTTCATCAAAGACTGCAAGGCTCAAGTTCGAGGAAGCAGCTTTGTCCACAATGGACTCCACGGCGGCGCTGTTTTGATCGAAATGACCGGGGAACGTTTTCATCGAGAATGTCACTTTATCGGGCACTACTAGATTCTGTCTGATGACTGGTGGCGATGCTAAAGATAAATGCGTCACTGGTTATCGCTCTTTTAGCATTTTGTGAATATTGAAATTATCTAGATATCCGTACAGAGTATAGTTAGCATAAATATCAAGTATCAAGTCAGGACAGTTTTCTCGCGTGGAAATAATATTTAAATCCCCATTGCCGCATTCCTTGGGCGGGATGCCCCTGATCAGCACAGTTCTAACTACGCTATCCCGTATGCCCAGCCAACCTTAAAACGTTTTTGGCCATAAAACGCTTAACTAAGATCCGTATCGAACAGACTATTGAACAGGGCGTAAGCTAAAATGAAATGGTCTCGGATTTTGTTCAATAGTTCAGCTTTGTTTCAATAGTGTCAATGCACAATGGCCCACATAACGTGCTGTTGGTCGTGAATCGCAAGTAAAAATGGCCAAGTTAGAAATCCCGTCTAGCCTGAAATGTAATCTCAGGGCTCGTAGCTAATCTATTGCTGGCTAGCTGCCAAAGAGGAAAAGGCCCAGAATATCATTCAGCTGGCCACAAAACGACTTTAATTTTAAAAAATTCTCAGCGGCTAACCAATAGTGTCTTATCGCTCTGCATCATTGAGTAAACATAGATAATTCGTTTAAATCGCGCGAATTTCATTCTACACTCTTGGCTTCTCTCGTTGGTCCCTGGTACCATTTGCCTTCTGTCTCTTCATTCTCAGTTCTGAAATCGCCTACGATGAGGAACCTGGAATTTGGTTGGACCCTCTGGGCCCTACTGCCCTTTCTCTCTACGTCGTTCTCAGAAGCAGCCGCACCGGAATCCTGCAGTGAAATGGGCAGCACCTACGACGCTTCAGTAAATGCGTTCAGTGTTAATTGCAACAAAATCGGGGGTAATGCAGCTACTTATGCTTATTATTCTCTCGGGGATACATTCGCATCGTGCATACAGAGATGTGACCTCGATGATGTTTGCGTTGCTGCCAATTATCAACAATTTACCGGCGATTGTGAGCTAGTTGCCGCATTTACTGAGGAGCAGCCGTCGAGTGACTACGATATCGCTGTGAAAGCATATCAGCTAGTAGAGACTACAACGACTTCGATTGCGTCTACATCTGAGGTGATTTCTACATCTGATATTCTGTCTACATCTGATGCGATTTCTATGTCTGAGGCGATTTCTACATCAGATGCGATATCTACATCTGATGCGATTTCTACATCTGATATTCTGTCTACATCTGATGTTCTGTCTACATCTGCAGCGCTTTCTACGTCAGACTCTGCATCCCTATCATCCCCATCTTCAACAGCAACAACATCGGATATTATATCTACCTCATCAGACTCTACGTCAACCTTAACCTCATTACTGTCAACAGAAAAATCCACATCTGAATCAACATCGATACTCACAACATCCGGCTCATTGGTATCTTCAGCTATGCCTCTTTCCGACTCAACTACATCAGAGGACGTGACCACTTCGTCTTTCACTTCGTCTGTCTCGACATTTGTTACTCTGTCCACCTCAGCAGTTTCTACAGAGTCATTCATAACATCTGGATCATTCTCAGCCTCTTCAACCTCAGAGTCTACATCATCTCCCCCAACTACATCTACAGCCGAGTCCGTGACCAACGTTGCATCAACCTCTCTGTCCGCTATTACCACTGCTTTCCAGACCTCAGTCGCCAACCCTACAACCGCCTCGGCTTCCACGACTGTTTCAACCACTTCAAGTTCTGCCTCCAACGTTCCCTATGTGGATATGTACGACTACCTAGGATGCTTGGAATCGCAGGAGGAGTTCCCGTCTTTCACGGAAATTGCCACTGCGTCAGATATGACAGTGGAGAAGTGCATTGAAATTGGTTCCGGGAGCCAATATATCGGTGTTCACCGACGGTATGTGCTAAACTATATGATCAGAGAGTCCTTCAGCTAATTGTTTTTAGATCTTGCTACAAAGCGGATAACCTTTCTGGGACCGATTTTACCGCAGATTCAAAGTGTAATATCCGGTGTCCTGGTGATTCCACTGTATTATGTGGAGGAGACAACAACGCCCAGACAAGAAGACGTAGATCTATTCCATCTAACTTCTTCTTGACTCTCTACCGCCTCTCAGCCTCAGCATCTTCAGCATCTTCGGCATCTTTGTCCTCTACGCTGATGCCCTCTTCGCCGGTCGTTACTTCGCCAACATCAACTGCACATTTGACCACGAGCCGTAGCGACGCAGGCTCTTCCTCCGATGACATTGCTACGAAGACAGCAGAGAGTACTGTGATAACCGATATCGCCACTTCTTGTATCACTCGCACTACACTCACAGACACAGTAACGAGTGTCACATATGTCACAGTTGATTCAAGCCTATCTGTGGTCACTACTTGTGTTCCAGTCACCCTGGTATACAGTCCTTGTGGCTGTGAGCACGAGACTTACCCAGCCGTCGATATGGTGACTGTTACCTCTCCCTGTAGTACTCACGGATCCTACAGAAAGGACATTACCACCCTCACAATCCCAAAGGCTTGTGAGACACTGACCAGTGATGGACAGCCTGCAGTCCAATATCCTTCTGGCTGGATCTCGTCTCAGACATATTCTGGTCACGGCAGTTATTACCTAGCGCAGCCAACAGCGGGACCACAAACCGAGTCCGGGCCAGACAATAAACAGCCTTCTCGGGGCAAGGCTTCAGCAGGAGGGGCGAAGGCCAAGCCCACTGATCGTCCACAGAAAGCGACTGGAGAGCTATCCTCGGAAACTGGATCTGAAGGCAATGGCCTCCCTAAGACTACACCCAATCAATCAATACCCTCAGCCCCCCAATACACGGGTTCTCCGCAATCGTCAGTTCATTACGAACAGATCCCGGCAAAGGAGTCCAATGCCCCAGACACTCCTTCTTCATCATGGACGACTCATCACGGCAACTACGACACCTCAGCTGCGGCGAGCAAGACAGGATCAACCGACGAGGTATCTCAAAGCAATGTGCCGTCAGAGTCTGGCGCCAAGGGTTCCGCGCCAGTGACTGTTTCAGGAGCTAGCCGACATCGTTGCGTGACTTGGGCTGTTGTTGGCATTGCCCTGATGTTTTATTGAGAATGTCATGCGCTGATAGAATACGGATGGCGAAGTTGGGCGTAACCATGTAAGATTTGTTAATCCATTAATAGCCCTAGGCCGTTTTTTCTAGATGCGCGCTGGTCATCTATAAAGCAGACATAGTTAATGTTCTAAGTACATATTCATAACCCAAAGCTCTGAGTAACCCTATCTATAGTGGCGCTTATAATTATAAACTTGATTTTCTGCTTTATTTATTCCTTTCATTTCTTGATAGACATACCAGATACATCCGCTGTACACGGAAGGCTAAAACTCAACCTTACCCTAGGGAATTGGTGTAGGCAGGGACATAAGCCTGCAAGTGTTGGGTAGCTTGCTCGGCAATCCGGGGGCCCGCGGCGTCCGCGGGTCTCCTTTGATTATCTACCCCGCGTTTGATGTTCGCGAATGTCAGATAACAAGATGATTAATCGACTTCTCGGGTTGCTTGAGGCATACAAGAAGACGTCGAAGTACATCAATTATAACATAAATGTCAAGCAGTTAAAAATCTACTTCCCGCAATTATCTCAATCTTTTCCAACCTCCAACAATGGCTGACTTGTACTCTTGGTGTTCTGTGTTGTTGACCGCAGTAACCGTGACCCTTGTCTGGTGGGGGAACAAGAAACAATATGCCCCAGTACGTCTATCCAGGAAAACTGGCCTTCGTGACCGTAAATGACTACGCCAGCAACGAAGCGCTGATATCTTGACATCAGAAAACTTCTCTTCCACAAGATACTCACCACCACCATCAAGAGTTGACGAGCGATTACAATGACATCGAGCCACTGAAAGACTTTGACCTGAAAACGGCCGAGCCAGTGCAGACTCGACCATGGAAACCCAAGTACCACCTCACCATGGGCCTTGAGAAATGCACTTTCTCGGATATCATGCCTATTGACAAGACCTTGGAGAAGAGACTTGCTCTTCGACGCAAGATTGTCACTGAACATTCCAATATGGTCATTGCTTCTGAATCATGCTCGGAGGCTGCCGTCAAGGAGTTTTACGAGTGGATGGTCAAAACATACCTACCACGACGGTATCCGTCTCTCTACCGTTTGGAGGGGGATATGCTTGTCGGCCCAGCATCGACTGAACTCCCGCTCGACCCGCCCAACGATGCTAATAAAATACTCCGCTTACTTGCCGAGAACGTCGATGCAGAGCTGTTCTTTCTTAAGAGGCAAGGTGACACTTACGTTGCGAAAGCACTAATTCTTTGCTACGCATTTTCCTTTAATCCATCTCTAAAACTGAATAAAACCTTGGCGGAGATTCATGGCCCCGTACCTGGTTACAAGGAGAAACTTGAGAGGCCTATGAACCGCTACTTCACTTCCTTACCAAAAGGCAAAGTTGTGAAGCGGCACAACTGGAACATATCCATTGGTCGCGAACTTTTTGCACCGAGGGAAAATCCATTGACTGTTTTGCCACTGTGGTTGATGGGTTGGATCAAGAAGGTTCTCGAGTGGCTTGGTATCGAGGTGTTGAAGATGAAGAGTGCTGATTTAGACCCTGATGAAATGAACGTTCGGTGTGAGAGACAGACGCTTCATAGATTGATGGAGAATGATGACACGTTGGTGTTTACTTTCAAGACGTATCAGTACCCTCTGAGGCAGATTCGGGAGGAGGGAGGAGGACCGGCGTTGGCTGAAGCGATACGGGGGATCGATCGTGGGAGTGTGCCTCAGATCGCCTGGTATAAGGCGTCGGTGTATTGGGGACAAGCTGTTGTAAAGTATCTTCTTGGTGGAAGTTCCGAATAGTCTTGGGAGAATTGTAATTAAATTCGAAGTGTTTGTCTAGTCTGAGATCAATGAGAATCTGAACACGAAGCATACCAATCACATTCAGAGAACATTCTACGCTGTAACCTGTGTGCCTTGAACAGTAGTAAAGCTTACGTAACTTAGAGTAAGAACGTTGCTTGAGGCTCTCACATCAGGCGTGTTCAGACCTGTAGCACTGCCGCGTCGGCATTCGCGCTTTGTTCATGCTTGTGTTGACACTCAGGCTCAAACGCCATGGCAAACATACCTTCTGCCACTGCCAGCACGCGAGAAACCGCGATGTGTCCGTCTGACACTGCCAATGGTCAACGCCCAGTGCCGAATAGAACGAAAAGCAGCTGCCAGTGGCCAAGAGTCTTCACCCAAATCGTCCCAATAAATACCTGGCCTGCTGTCTCTCTTTCCTTCTCTTTTCTTTTCCTCCTTCCAACTGATCATCGATCTTCACTTTCTACCTCTACCACCTTCATACCTTTCATCCATCTTCTACCCTTCTTCATCAACATCAACCAACATCTATCATCAACTTCACAAACTTCCCATCCACCATCCATCTTACCAACAGTTGTAGTTAACAGAGACACACTCACACACAGCTACATCCCACAACGAACACAACAAACAAACCATCTCTTCAAAAACTCGACATGGCGTTCCTTGAGCTGACCTCTGCCCCCTCTCCCACCCCGGAGTCGGCTTCTACTATCTCCTCCAAGGACAACAAAATGGTTGCCCCCACCGCTCCCTCTCCCGCCTCTGCGGAGACTACTAACGCTACCTCATCTGAGGTTGATATCAACAATACCGACAAGGTAAGTCTCCCATCCTCAATCAAGGATCATGAGCTAAAGAATCCGAAGTTTTTCGATCATATAATGGCCAACCTCAACGCGATGCGAGCCAAGGTTCAGGCTCTTGAGTCTGAAAACACCGAGCTCAAGGCTCAAGTTCAGTCCGAGAAGTCTTCCAAGGAAGAGCTCTCCAAGAACCTTGACGAGGCCAATCATAACTCGCGCGTAGCTGAACTCGAGGCTGCTACCAAGATCCAGTCTCTTGAGTCTAAGAACAATGATCTCATGGATCAAGTCAAGGACGAGAAATCCATCAACGAGCACTACTCCGACAACCTTAAGGAAGCCAACAAAAACTTGCACTCTGCTCAGCTTGAGGCTACTGCCAAGGATGCCGAGCTTGGTCGTGTCCGCGAGCGTCTGCAACTTGTCGAAGCTCAAGCTGCCGAGCAGCAGCAACTCCATGCTGTCAAGGAACAGAACATCGAGCTCCAAGCTCGCTTCCGACTTCAGTTCATGCTGACCACCCACCAGCATGTTCAAACTCTCAAGCATATGATGCATGACTGGAAGATGCAGGTGGAGCAGAAGATTGACGACGATTATGAGAACAACAAACTCAAGGAGAGCGACGCCGACGCTGCCCTCGACGCTGAGTACGAACGTCTCAAGGCTCTCATTGAAGGTCACGAGTACATCATTGCCAACATCAACAAGGGTAATGACAAGTTTGTCGCTCAGATCAAGCACCTCCGCGAGCTTGAGAACGTTACTCTCATCTCCGACCTCACTGCCAATCGCTTCGAGGCTTTCTTGAACGAGCGCGTGAAGATGGTCGCTCAGCTTGAGCAGGAGAAGCAGGATTTTGTCGACATGGTAAACGAGAACTAGGAGTTCAATAGCCAGGAGACCGACGACGTCACCGACGACTCGATTGAGATTCCCACCAAGACCAAGGAAGTGACCAAGGCCGAACGCAAGGCGGCTAAGAAAGCTGCGAAGAAGGCGGCCAAGAAGGCTAAGAAGGCGAACGCGAAGAAGTAAGGAGAGTTCATTTGGGATCCAAACATGGAATGGTTGTTGACACGGAGGAATGGATGAGCATATGGCGATGCAGAAGTGATACGGACAGAAATCATTGTACCGATGCTTTGATCACGGACAGGTTAGGAGTTTTGATATTTTGTCTACCAGGTCATTGATGACCTCTGGTCTTGTCAGTAACTACGTTAGGAGTAGTTAGTTAAACCAAGCGAAATTTGCTGGTAACTCTTCCACTTTGACTTGTTGTACTTTTGTGCATGCTGTTGATAAGTAAAGCCGGCTTCTGCGGTCGATCTCCACAAGTGTTGTTGTGTGCAGCGTTAGATGGGGAGTAAACACACAACTTAGTCTTTATGTACGTGTCGCAAGAAATTGGCGACTAACAAGGATTAGAATAAAAGTCTCTCTGAGTTGTATGATGAAGGAACATATACCAAGCAAACCCGAGTTTTGTAGGAGTAACCAAATGCTAATCACGTCGGACCTATTTCTCTCCTCCGACCTTGTTGAGGCTACTGCACTTCCTCACCTGCCCACCCGTAATCGGATCAAGTTCCCTGTTCGCCTTATCACACTTATCCTTCGGCCAAAGCCTTCCAGCCTGCCCTTCCTGTCCCACGAAATCACCCGCCAGCAAAATCGCACTATTAGACGCAGCATCCTTGCTCCAATTCCGCTTGAGAACCGGCATGGCGAAGAAGCAAGGAGGAGGAACACCATTAGTACACTCACTCTGAAGAGCTTTTACCTTTGTTTCGCCTATCTTGCCGCCGTTGTTCTCCCAGCACTCGACGGCGTTGTGAAAGGTCCAGAGGCGGGACATATTCCATTTGGCCCAGACATTCTCCATGGCGAGATCGCCGCCAACGCGGCCGGATGCGGACTTGGGCCACCAGGAGAGGATGTCAAGATAGCGGTTAGTTCGGTCGTCACATACGTTGTTGGGATGGGTGGACTTGTTGATGGGGAGATCGTCTCGGATCACGACGTAGAAGCCCTTAAAGAGTCTAACCATTTGCCAAAAGGGTTTGGTTCTACAATATTCAGTCTATATTCTGGCGCGAAAGGTTTAGAGAGTGGCTTACCATCTTGTCGAACATTCGCTCTACGGTACCGCTCAGGTCAGTGAGATCGTTATCTCTCAACCAAGCACCATAGCCAACGACCTTCATGGCGGGGTTATCAGCACATCCGACGAGCATGTTCTTGGGAAGGTCGGCCTGCGCATGTCCAAAGTTGCCGTACACTGAAGAGACAATATCGGAAATCTTTCTCTTACCCTCGACTGCAACAGTCTTAACCGCGAAGGTCAGAGTATCGGTCGCATCAACGGCGTTGTCATTGTCGCCACTATCAAAAACGCGTTAGCATCTAGAGGTGCTTTAAGAGGACCTGAGATACTTACACTGTACTGGGGTCGGTTCCGATCATTCTAGCCAGGCCGGAGATAACTGCCGCGACGGATGCCAGACGGCATTCGGTCTCTGCACTGGTATATGTACTGATGCTGTGTGCGGTTCACGAAACGGCAAGACTTGTGTAGGCTCTGGTCTTGGAAACTGCTGTCCTGCCAATGAGTTCTGCGGAAGTACTTCGACTCACTGCGGTCAGGGCTGGCAAGTCTCTTCCTATTCTTTCAAGACTGTGTAACAAACATTGTGCATTTAGTCAAAAGGGTGCTTCCAGTGCTTGTTTGACGAAGGATATTCCTGCGCTTGACGGTTCATGCGGTAGTAAAGTTGGTCTAACTTGCGCTGGTGGTCCTTTCAATGGCCAGTGCCGTAGCGTTGCAGGCTATTGCGGAACGAGCACACATTGCGGCTCTGGGTGGTAAGTCATCTGTGAAAGATTTGCTAATTGGCTAGTCAACGTGGTTTCGGGCGGTGCAATTAGCTACGGTGTTGATGAGGATTGATTCGGGTCATATTTCTCGTATAGGGTCAATATTCTCCATATCGAAGAAATTATACCAAGACTCATACACATGTAAATAATGAACTACGACTTCTCAGACTGCTGTAGTTTATTCTCCGGATGTATTGTAGAAGAGACAGTAAATTGTCTGTTTCCCTTTAGCTCTGGACGATGTTACCATACACTACCTGAGATGCATATGCTTCGAGCCTGCCATGTAAAACTGCTTTGCCACATATCTGTCAGACCTATCTCCCACTTCAAGAAATAACTGCAGCCTCTACCGAAGGCGCGTCCAGACCGTTTGTGCAGGGCTTCTCCTTGACTTCATCTCGAACGGGTCTGTCAAAGAATACCCGTGTCACCTTGCCAGCTGTCATATGCGGGACCGAGCTAGAGATATCACGCGCGACATCAGGATTGTTGCGGTAGGCTTGCACGACAGTGTCTATCGGTGAGACATACGGGGAGTTGATATTTCCCGTTGAGCCATCGGCATTCTTGCGAGGATAGACGGGATGAAAGATGGTGGTGTACTGGCGATTGTCGTAATTAAACCCCATAAGTTGGACAGGGAGTTCAGCGAGGGTGTATTTCGTAAAGTTCTCAAGTCTTTGCTCAGTCAAGGTGGCGACAGCCAAACGACGCTTGATGTAGAACCCAGAGCTGGCGCGGAGTTCTTCATCAAAGTGCTTTCGGTACTGGTACATGATGTCATGGACCTTCTGATAGTCCTGATCTTCGATCTGAGACCAGCGCAGGATATTCAAGCTGGATGACAGCTGGCCATCTTGTCTGAGGCGCTCAAATGCGGTGTTGAGAATCGCATCCATGTCATCGCCCTTCTTTATGGCCAGTCGTTGAGCTCTTGTAATGGTCATGTTTCGGGGTATCATCATCTCGTACTTGTGAATTTCGTCACAGGTTAGAAAGGCAACGTCGTTGAACTTCTGCTGGAGAGACTTGACAAGATGGCAGACGTTATCCGGGTCAACAAGAGGAGTCTCTCCAAGGCAGATAGCCACAGCGCAGTGGCCACCAGCAACGAATGGTTCGAGGTTGAGAGGGTACATGATGCCTAGTATTGTGCTCGAGTCAGACTGAAAGGGGTAGATGTTATGGAGGGCCGTTCGAACCTGGTGATATCGTGAGAAGGAACCATTTCATGCGTGAGTTGACAGACTTGCTTGCATGGGGCAACTAACTTTGTGTATCTATCCTGCTTAGAGCTGGTTATTCTGATGACAGGGTAGAAGGAAGGCAGTTACTCATACACCTCCAGAGCTTGGTATCAACATATATGCCTTTTCAACCAAAAGCAAGGTGATGGGTAACGGAGAGAGCAGGGACTCTACTAGGGTTGGGGCTGGAGCCTCTTTTAACCTCTCAACCTTACCACAGAACCATTTAATCCCTCATTATTATATGTTATGACCCTTGGAGACATTGAGGGGAATATTTAGGGTTAACATGGGTATTCATCAGGGGAAGCATTAGATACATCGCTGAAACCCATGTTCGCAACTCCACCTGTTGGTTCAACCCTGTTGAATCCTTCATTCCATGAGGTTCTATTTGACTGACACTGTAGTTCTTAATTGCCATGAGAATTCACTGATGGAGTAGCAACTATGAACGAGACCTTGAAGAAAGAATCGCTAACACTTAAAGTAACTAACCTTGCGCTTTAGCACATCGTTTTGGTGCTTCATTTAAGCCCTTGGTCTAGTCCTTACAGTGCCAATAACCACATATAATTGGATGATCTGATCCTCGGGAAAAGGTGACCTAATAAGCGAGGAATAGTGGTCCATCTGTAACGTCACGCGGTCAAGGGGATCGTCGTTACTGTTACATCAACGACCAACATTACGGTACATCATCGATGGCCTGCAATTCCCCACTAACTTGAGACAGAAGAGTGTATGGTGCTGAGTCCTGACTTTTGTTGAGATCTATGACCCTTTATATACTTGTTTTCCAGAGCCAGAAATCCGGTAGCGAGAGGTGGCCCATTTCGGTCCCGTCACATATGGACTGACTTCAGGCTACTGGCATCAAGAAATGACGGACTAAGTGTTCCTATCAGCAAGCATGAAGCAATCCGAGCTAGGATCAGGGACAGAGAAGGCGCTCCTGAGTAGGGGTTGGTGGTGTAGGTCGGGCCCTAGACCCATCACAGCCATCAGCTGAGCTGTCTGAAGTGGGGTGAAGTCGTGTGCTACCAATACTGTGAAATAGTTCTCTGCATGTCTTACAACTACAGCTCACTCCGATCATGCCAACCGCCATCTTGAGTAGCTGAGGTTCCTTTTTGGATTAAGGAAAGCCAATATTGTGATATTTGCTGTCACATACTCTCAAGCCCTTGTATCTCATCACCCTTATCATGTACCATCAGCTTAACCAAAGTTCACCAGGCCTGCATCCAAACCTTGGTTATATGCCCAGAAGTCAGGACTTCGTACAGCTTATCAAAAATCGGTAGATACATCTAGAAGTATCGCGTACGCTCCTGCATTCATGACCTGTGTTCCCAGCCCAAAGTTTAACCCTCGAGGCAGCAGTCAACTACAGACGCACTTACATTAGCTACAGCTACTTCACTAAGTTATACTAAGTCACTTCAATCGGAAGTTTCATTACAACAAACCAAATACTTAGTATATTCGGCTTTTCATAACCTGCCAAATATATCATTTTACGGCTATAAAGTTCAACGCGCATAAATCATGCGATATCACGCTTTAGTGGAGTTCCCAATCAAGCTAATAACTTACCTTACCCGTTAGCTCAAGCCAGGGGGGGGCTAACTAAGCAAGCTTAGTTAGGCATAAAACC